CATGCACATTACTGGATGCTAAGCAGCTAAGAGGATGTATTTATCTTGTATTTCTTAATTCTCGTAAAGTGTCGCTGAGTACTGTGAAACGCACTTTCAAATAAAGTGTATTATTATTAGCATTATTATTATTATTAAAGGAAGAAAATAGACTATAAAATAGACTATAAAATAACTACAATTTAGTAGAAGTTGTAAATGTACGTCAGTGTTTCCAATAGTCTTAAGGCCAGCCGAGAAGTCCTTGCAGTCAATGATTACAAACCACTGGTATTGAGAAGTTATTAGAGTTGTGCTCATTTTTTTACATACACGTGGGGGATGTACAGCACAACTGTTTATATTTTTTTTCAGTCTCCAACTGCATAATTCATAGAACAGCTATCTCTGTGGGGTTATCTATTTCAAATAAAACGTAATCTGTCACCATATTCATCAATGACACAGTGAAATGTTTTGTTTTACCATGTGAGCAGGTTACTTGAAATGTAATGATCACATTATAGGTCAGCAGAGTGACATATTCACTAATTTAATTGAAAACGCCCTCTTCAGTCCAGACTGTCTTCCTTGGAAACTCTTGCCGTATTTTTGTTTTTTCCCTGCTGGGTTTTTCCAGGCTGAAGTCCCTATTTTTGGTCCGATAAATACAATGTTGTTTTGGGAGTCGGGGCCGAGCCGCGAGGCACCGATGAGATCACCTCTCAAGGTTCCTGAGCAGCAAAATAAGGCAGCAAGACAAGACAAGAAATGCCATGAGTTGAGGCAGAAAATGACGGTTTCGGAAATAGACACGCTCCTCTGGCTTCTTGCTAGCCTAGGGCAAAGGATCGGGAGAGAACCTGTCCCACAGCGTCTCAGAAATTTGGAAACATATTTCTCCAGTGAAGTAATACTTCTCCTTTTGCCGACCGAAAAGAAGGAAATGTGTTCACTCGCTGCTGGAAGCAGGGACATATCGTAAGAGTGCAATGATCATGATGTCTCGAGTGTGGATGAGGCCATGGGAGAAAGGAGCTCATGACTTCAGAGGTGTATCAGATGAAGGAGGGCATGCTTCTGTGCTTTTGGAGGACAGGAACATCTGGCTTTCTTGAAGCCACGCTGTTTACACTTCTGTGTTTTGACAAGGGCAAATGTGCTTATCTGATGAGCGAGGGTTGTGCGTGGGTGTGTGATGCACACTCATGTGTCTCCGTCTGTCTTTGTGTCTGCGTGGCGTTCAAGAAGTTGCTGTTGTCTGCGGTTCCAGCCAGGTGTGGCTGCTGCCAGCCTCACCACCTGCATGAATACGAGACAACAGCAGCCGAACACAGACTGCACTGTGCCCTAACATACCCAGCAATAAATACAGTCGTGCGTCTGTTTAACTGTCTACATTTGAGAGGGAAGTGTTAAACATTTCAGTTTGATCAAGATTTGACACACACTCCACAATAACCCACAATGGAGTCTCAGTTTGTGGGAAAGAAGTGATGTCATATTTCCATCCACGAAACCTGATGCTAGCCTAGAAACATTGACCCGCAGAGCCAGATGAGTTGAGCATGTGAGAGCTAAAAATCAAATAGCCTAAAATGAACAGTCAACCCAATTAGTCCTTTCTGTCATTGGTTATCGTTCTGTTTCACATGACAAATATGTAGTTTGGACCTACTTGGTGTTGACCACACATACACAAGAATTTGCGATCGGAAATATTGAACAGGTTTAACATTTAGTATTGCTGTGGACTGTGATTGGTCATAATAACCAGGATTCAAGTATTGCATTGTAACACACAGAAGCAAATCTGCAAATGCCACCCGTGATTCCTCTCCACTGGGCCATAAACCATGACACGTACTCACAATTTGACACCGAAGGTTTTATGGTCCCTTATTTTATATATCATATATTTGGCAACCGAGGAAACACCAGCAATTAAAAAAAAACAAAAAAAAAAAACAAACGCCGTTCTGTCCAATAAGCTTGCCAAGAATTAATGTGAGGATGTCATCAATCTTGCCTAACTCAGACAAAATGAAGAAAAAAAAAATACAGGCGTGTACCAGCGCTTATTGCTGAGGCTGCAGCTGGGATCCCTTTGTGTATAATGATGATGATGATAATTATTAATATTATTATAAGGCATAGTTATTGATTGGTCAGCACGTCTGCCTCACAGGACAGAAGTCCATGGTTCAGTTCCGAGCCCCGGCCTTCCTGTATGGAGTTTGCATGTTCTCCCCATGCCTGCATGTTTTTTTTTTTTTTCGGTTTCCTCCCACATTCCCGAAAACATTCTTAATTGTCCCTATGGTGTGATTGTGAGCGTGAATAGTTGTTAGCCTATATGTGCCCTGTGATTGGCTGGGAACTGGTTCAGGGTGTCCCCCACCTACTGCCCAAAGACAGTTGGGATAGGCTCCAGCATGCCCACAACCCTTGTGAGGATAAGCAGTTCAGATAATGGATGGATAATAATAATAATAACAATAATACAAATTTTTGGTCTGATACAAATATCATATCCTTATTTCAATTATTTGTTGGTTGTGCTCTGCTAATTATGAGGAGTTGTTATAGTTTTACGTGGTAGACCACCCAAAAGCAGGAAGGCGGGAGAAGCGGGGTGGAATGAATTTAAGAAAAACTCAAACGAAAGCACTAACAAAGACCAAAATTCAAAGTAACAACAGGAAATAAAGAGTTGAACGCGGGGCTGTCTGGTTAACACATGGGACCGGAATGACAAGAACAGGTGGAAACAAAACCTAATGAGGAAGACAAAAAAGTCACATGAGGAAACAAAACCAAATGTAATCGAAACAAAAACAGAAACTTGACAAGAAGAGTAAAAAATTCTGTCCAATTTTCCAGTTGAACATCACCTTCTCTATTTTGTGTTGCTGTCCTCATATCTTTATGAATCAAGTCTGTGCTGCAGTAGAAAATGGCCTTCCCTAAACTGTGGACTCAAAGTTGGCATTGTCCAAAATGGAAGATGAAGAATTTAATTTCTAGGGGGAAATAAGGGATCAAATCCAACTTCTGATTGGTCAATTGATTCGCAAGACTGTCTACATACTTAATTCTCAAGAATCTTTATCGACAGAGACAAAATGATGATGCCCTAAAAAAAACACCCATTCATCCTCTATACAGCTTGTCCTCATTAGGCTTCAGCTAACTTTGGCTGAGAGGCGGACTAGTTGCCAGCCAATCACAGGGAACAATATCGACAAACTATATTCATACTCACATTCACATCTATGGACAGTTTCAAGTCTTCAATTAGCCTCATGTTTTAAGAATGTAGACGGAAGCCGATATCCTAAGATAAAACCTACACAAGCACGGGGAAAACATCCAGAGCTAAGATTCGAACCCTGAACCTCAAAACTTTGAGGTGGATGTGCCAAACACATCAGGCTCCGCCCTAATAAAATCAATGCACAATTTATCATTTACCTTGAACAGCCAATGACAGATAACATGGACTGCAGAGCTCATTTTTACATAAAAAAAAAAAAATGAACTATCGTGCTCTTGTTGCGCAGTTATCACGTTGATCTTCAATAGATTTGATTACACAGTTCCTCGAGTCGCATGTGGCAGAGACGAGCCGATTATAAACAGGACTTATCACCATATTCTTTTATTGGTTTACTGTGAGTTGAGACAAAGCTCATACATCTGTGCGTGCGGGTGTGCAGCCACGTGCATCTGGCGCTCCTCAAAGCATGTGGGCGGTGGGAGTTGTGCAGTAAAATGAGGTCATCATCATCGCCACTGATTTACGTGACACACGCCATTACTTACACTCCCGTGATTTCAGCCACGTCTCCACTGACGGCATGAATAATACATGTCCCCGCCAAAACATGACATCCTCTACTTTCTCCTCTCTCGTCGGCTACTTTCGAAAGTTTACTTCATCTTTCCTGAGCCAATTTATCTCCAGGCGCCGTTGCTTGCCGCTTTCCATCCAGTTCAACAAGTTTGTCCTTTCTATCAGTTGTGGAATTGCGCAACAGGAAGTAGGGAAGGAGTGTGTGCAGAATATGCGTGTGTGCGTGTTTCATATGTCTCACGCCTCAATTTGCACAATTGCGATTAAAATGCGCCAATCATTCTCTACCTGTCTAAGTGTCGAAATAGTAGATGGTTCTTCAGTGACTCATTCACACAAAAAATGTTCACATTTTCACTTTCACAGTATTGAGACATGCTGGAAAAGTCCATGCAGGCAAACAGGTTCAAGAAGTAGGAAGGGGTTAGATCAGGGGTGTCAAACTCATTTCACATTGTGGGCCACATACGGACTCGGTAGATGTCAAGTGGGCCAGACCATTAACATTATACCATACTGTGCTATGAATCACCAAAATATCATCTCTTTCCTTTGTTTTGGTCTCAAGAAGCATTGATTGGCGCTTTCATATCATTTGCTGCGTTGGGTCTATCTCGGTGACAGACTGAGACTGCTGTTTTATTCTCCGATCAAAACAATGTTGTCTTCTACTGTGATCAAAACAGTGTGCTCCCTAGCGGATAATCCACGAATTGCATTTTATTGAAAATATTCATTCTGTGTCTTTAATGCATTTTTTTTTCACTTTTAAATCATCCCGTGGGCCGGATCAAACCTCCTTGGGGGCCGGTTCCGGCCCGCGGGCCGTATGTTTGACACCCCTGGGTTAGATTATTATTTACTGGACCATGTCATTCTTCTCCAACCAGTGTGCTGTGTTAAATCGTCGGATCTGATGCGGTAATTGATCCAGTTTTACTCAACTGGTTCCAAAATGATTTATTTAGTACAAATTATGTGCATTTGTTTATTCTGTTGTTGCCAATGGTGTTTTGTGAGAGGCCGAACAAAGACTGTAAACATTCTTCCACTGGCATTAAACCAGTTTATCCAGGTTTTCTGATTTTGTTTGATGATGTTCAGTGACATTTTTTCAAATGCGAAATTTGTCTCTTGTTTCAGTAAAGGTTGGGAACCACTGGACTATACATTTCATTCATCAATCAAAATAAAAAATCAGTTTTTGAGCAACTACTCCAGTGGATATTTAATGACGGCATTGCCGTCGCATGATCACAACATACTGGGTTCATGTCAATTGGTGCACCTTTCCATAATAGAGAACAAATCCGTCCGTGTTGTGATGTGTTGCTCTATTTACAAATCCTTCAAAAAGTATTGGAGCGCCTAGGTCAGTTCCTTTGTTTTTGTTGTATACAGAAGACATTTGGGTTTCGGATCAAAGTGATGAATATGAGACAAAAGTTCAGAAGTCCAACTTTTATTTCATGATATTGACATTTAGATGTGTTCAACAACTTGGGACAGAGCACCGTTTGTTTCAAGATGAATACTGGGATCCAGTGAGGGCACAACATAGGCGATAACCGCTGCACATTCCAGCTGTACTACAAAATGGCAAACTCACCACATACAATAGGTCACTACACTGCATATTGGATAGGGAATAATTTAGTGTTTTGTCCACAGTTTGAAAAAGAAGAGCAACCCACCAGAGATTAATCAGTCGTGGATGAATGCTCGATGTCATCCAAGATGTGCGTTTGACAGCCTTCCGCACATTTTGCCCCGCTAAGAAGCTCAAAGCCAAGCTGGCAACCTCCAAAGGAAGGTCACCCAGGTCAGTCCGGAACGGGCAAGAGCGAAGGGGGAAGAGCGGAGGAGGCACGAGGGGTAGGGTAGGGGGGTGGGGGTGGGTTAATAGGCCGGGGGTTGCAGTACAGACGGTACTGTCAGCCTCCATCAGAGAGCCCCCCCAGTGACATGGAAACAGGCAAGAAAGTAAGAATAATGGGACGAGAGGTTATGGCCGGGAGTCAGCTCTTAACTAGTCAACCCTCTAGCATGTCCTGCCCCCCGCGTCCCCCTCACCCCTCACACACACACACATACACACAGATGTGCAGTGATTTATTTATTTTTATTATTCTAAAAGAAGACTGCGTTGAATAAGCAAAAGATCCATTCGTACAACACTCAAAACTTCATCTGCTCAGTCAATCACGTTTGGCTGATCTTACTCTCATGCTGTTACTTTGAGCAATCTTGATGACATTATTTTACTTTCATCAAATATTGTTCAAAACACAGACAGTAAGTGACATTAAAGGTGTGGGTTTCCCCCCCTCCCTGTGTATGCCTGTGTTTATGTGTGTGTGTGTGTGTGTGTGTGTGTGTGTGTGTGTGTGTGTGTGTGTGTGTGTGTGCGTGTGTGTGTGTGAGTGTGGAGGGGGTTTATTTATTTATTTATTTCAATTGGTGGAAACGGTTCACTTTAATGCCACAGCATTCAATTGAGAGGCAATTAAAAAACCCCACATTATAAGAGCGCCTGAGATCTCTTCTAAATTTAAAGTGTGCTCCACCTTGGCCTCAGTGGAAATTACATGCCCAGGTTGGATAACAACTTGCTGTGCGTCCAAGTTGTCTGCACGCTTTGCAAATTGGAACAAACATGTTTTGCTGCTACTGGCCACACAAAGACAGACAAATAGTGCAACCAGACTTCTTAACAACAACCACTTATATGCAGGTACTGTATTTGGCCAGATGGTAATTTAAGATTAACTGACGTACAGTTCATCTTGAAATTGTTAATTTCCTGGCTGAATTTAGAAATAAATATCAATTTTATTTGGTGAACGGCTTCCTTTGTGTTTTAGGATTTTGCTATTGTTATTCCTTTTATGACAATGAAAATTGCAGTTTTTTATGACTCACGATAATACAGGTCCACGTTTTTAGAGAATGCCCTCGGTCATCAATAAAGCATCTAGCGTTCTCTCTCTTGTGTCACTTATTGCCAGAAAATACGCTTTCAATAAATATAAATTCAGGTGGCCCGGCGGTGGAGTGGTTAGCGCATCGACCTCATAGTGCAGAGGTATCGGGTTCAATTCCAGCTCCAGCCTTCCTTTGTGGAGCATGTATGTTGTCCCCGTGCCTGCGTGGGTTTTCTCCGGGTACTCCGGTTTTCCCCCACATTCCAAAAATAATGTTTGGCAGGCTGATTGACCACTCTAAATTGTCCCTAGGTGTGAGTGTGACCTCCGATAGTTGTTCGTCTCCGTGTGTGCCCTGCGATTGGCTGGCAAGCGGTTCAGGGTGTCCCCCGAAGACGGCTGGGATTGGCTCCAGCACGCCCCGCGACCCTTTTGAGGATTAAGTGGTTCCAGAAAATGGATGGATAAATATAAATTCAAGAAAATCATTGTGCTTATCTGTGCGTAAAAACACCATAGCGAACATTTCAAAGACTCCTCACCTCCACCCGCAGTTTAACCAAGCCAAAATGTAAAGCCCCATTAGGCGCTGAGTGGTGTGCAATTAGATTTCAAAATGAGAAGAGAGGTTTGTAGTTAAATATAACTGGGTACATAATTATATATTCACAGAGTCGGTGCCAACTCATCGTGAGGGCAAATCTATGAGGAACATCTTTCCTCGTCCATCCACAACTGGTGTTGCTAAACACGACCAATGATGCCATGAACGCAAACATGAATTATAATTCAAGAATGAAAATATTGCAGTTGCAACAATGACCAAAAACTTCATCGGTCTACTGGAGTTTCTCTTAAGAATCTCACCCTCTGACAGACCGCTGAAACTTCTGGATTCTTTCATTCATACTGAGAAAATGACCTTAAACTAGCAGTACGTACAGTGTGACACGAAGAGCGACAATAAGACGCGAACAAACGCACAAAGAACCAGACTGACAGGTCTTGATGTACAGAGAGAACTTCTTCCTAACTCAAATTGTGTAAGACAGGGAGTGGCCTTAACACACACACACGCACACACACACACACACACACACACACACACACACACACACACACACACACACACACACACACACAGACGTATAAGCACCCCTGAATAAAATCATGCGAGAGTAAAATGCTTTCAATCAGTGTACCGTCACAAACATTAACTTGACATGGCACATATTTATTTAGTTGAAAGTGCAGGTTCGATACGGTTGTTTCATAACGGTCAAACACACAGCAGCGGGTACAAGTTTGTGTGTGCGTGTGTGTGCATGTCTGTGCATGTGTGTGCCTTCCGCCAGACTAATGAGATTAGTGTGAAATATTCCAATCAAACTGAGGTTCAAGGTTTTAATTTGTAGTTCGCTCACTGATTGTTTGGAATTTGTGATGAATTGAGTACAAACTTCACTGCAGACGTTCTTTTCTTGTTTGTAGCTTTAATCCATGTGCCCTGTGACTGACTGGCAGCAAGCCCAGGGTGCAACCCATCTCTCAGCCAAATGTCAGCTTGGATTGGCTTCAGTACACCCACGACTCTAATGAGGACAAGGGTGCTTACAAAAAAAAAAAAAAAATGAATGAATGGATAGTTATTAAAGGGATAGATGTATGGTCGATATGATAGATCTGATGCATTATATTCACTCACCACTGAGTCACTCTCATAAATGTCATCTATCTCCGACAATCCAATATACCTGTACAAGGTCACTTCAATTTAACGGGCATTGTGCAAAACTGATGTTAAAAAAAAAAAAAAAAGGACAACCCCCCCCCAAAATTCACTCTGTATGTGTACTTAAGTACATTTCAGAGCCCGTACTTTTTAACTTTAACAAGTCATATCAGTACTTCCGCAATTAAGTACACAGGGTGAGAACTTTGGTCTCTTCGACGGAAACTTGTGTGACAGGACCACTCTTGCATGGCCCAGCTGTGTCAAATTAATCATGATGCTGTTATGCAAACCATTTCAATATTATTTTGGATTTAGAAGACTGTTAAGATGAACGCATTTTCAAAACGGGCACCTGCGTAATAATCAGAAGAAGTGCATGCGTTTGTGCGTCTCTTGTGTTGTGGCTTCTCACTCAGTAAAGTAAACTAGAGATTGTACGTGGCGCAGATTCCGAGAAATGTTTCTAATCTTCACACTTCTGTCTCTTTTCGCTGTGGCAACAATAACAACAGCAACACAGAGGCATGTGTAGAAAAAGTGAGATGTGCAAACACACGCACACACACACACACACACACACACACACACACACACACACACACACACACACACACACACAAACACATCAAACATAGTTTTAAGCATAGCACTGAGTTGATGAAGCCATATGTGTGATTTGAACCTTAAATGAGATTCTTTGCAGACCTCAGTGCTCTAGTTTCTGAAGAAACACACACATGCGCACGCGCACGCGCGCGCGCACACACACACACACGCACACATACACACACACACACACACACACAAACACACCCCATTCTTTGAAATCCTCCTCCACATTTGTGTTTTCGTACTTAATGGGAAAGACAAAACCACATTTCTGAAATCAGCTCAAAGACTGGAATGGGTTGACCTTGCAAGAAATGCTTCTGAGGGACGGGAAATTGAGAAATCTCAACTTGCAACTGGTGGCCAGAAGTTCTGTGTTTCTCATGTGCACTCATCTCACTCTTTTGATGATGTCAACTGATGATCAGGGGATTTGCAATTTATTTGTTTCTATTTACTGACTCTATAAAGTCATGACTGAAAAAAAAGTTGTCATGTAGATGTTTGCAAGTCAAGGACCTTTGCAGAATTCCACAATCATGAAATGACATAGTAGAAGAAGACGAAGAAGAAGAAGAAGATGATGATGTAAGCTAATGTAACAATTTGTCAAGTTATTTATTTTTGGGATGCGGTCAAGGCTGAAGACCAAGTCCTTACAATAATCAGGGAAATTTCGATGGAAAAAATATCCAGCCTTGCAAAGGTTAAGGTAATAAATAAGAGGTTATCACGGCAAAAATATCATCATCGCGATAACGGCCCATTGAAAATGTATTCCGCAAAGGCGTGCAACAAGTTTCATATGGAATTTTACGGCTCTGACTTTGACCAATATGATTCAACCTTAAATGCATATCCCCCTCCAACAGGCATTCTAAATTGTCTTTAGGTGTGATTGTGAGTGCGGATGGTTGCTGTTTGTTTACGTGTGCCCTGTGATTGGCTGGCAACCAGAAAATGTCCGAGTCAGCAGGATGGCATCTCGGTGCAGGCGTAGAGCTGAAGCAGACATTCAAACTGAACAGTGAAACTGAACAAGCATGCAGTGACTTCACATTTTATTGTTTCTGGCAACAATAAAGGTACTGCCTCTGCTGTAGAAAAATAATAATAATAATAATAATCTGCGGCAGAAAAAGGTCAATGTAAAACAAGTTGTACTTTTTTATTTTTAATCAAGTTGAATGGCCACCAGGAAGGATACCAATGTGTGTGATACCAGGATGGTAGAGGTGGGTTCACGTCTATTGCAACTTCTCTTTTCTATTTGTCCTGTTCAGTGAAAGATTCTGATTGGACATTACTGTCAGGGAGAACAATCAAAGACACAGCAGGAACGAGAGGAAGAACTTCTCCTTACAGCCTGGAAAAGCATGGTTGGTACAGCAACACTTGCATCATGTGTGTTGATTTTTTTTTTTTTGTAGGGATGCACTGATACCACATTTCTGTTCCTCGGACCAAATGCAAAATATAAGCATGCATATTTAAGTACGCTGTGATACCAAGTACCGATACGGGATAGTTAAGTCACATGGATTTATAGAGCCCTTAACCACAAACAGTCTCAAAGGGCTTCACAGGTAAGAAATATTACCGGTATCCCATGATCTTAACCTCCAGGAGGGGAAGGAGAAACTTAAAAAAAAAAAAAAAGTCTGGGGGAAAATGCAAAACCTTGAGAAGGGCCTGCAGAAGGTAGAACCCCCCTTCCAAGATGACCAGACTGCAAGGGATGCCGAGTGGGCAACATTTGACACAACATTGTACTATACAGTGTTAGTTAGAATGATATAAAAGTCCATTTAACAAGATGAAAACGCCCCAGGGAGACACCTTTGCTTTCGGAGAGGTGGGTCGCCCCTCCGAACCCGGGCTTTGTATTTGTCAATGAAGAAATCTTCATAACAGCGCCTCCGAGTGGTCGTCCCAGCTCTTGTCCAGGTCAGTCGGTGCATATCAGGTCCACATCGATCAGAGTAGAATCCATACAGCGACATACAATTAGGTCATCACCTAGACCCCTACCCAAGGAGGAAGGTGGGGGGAGGACAAACAGAGGACGCTGCCGTCAAACAGGTCAATATGCAGATAATGCCTATGTATGATGCAATTGTGATGAAGAGTGTTTTTATTTTAATCATATACAGTATTGTTCAAACCAATAAAACACAAATCTTCATGGAACACGATTTAAGTTGCACTCAATTAGAACACTTTTTCTGCACTTTAGCATTTTATTAACACCCGAGTTGTGCAGTGAGTTGTCTTCTCATGCAGTTGTGTTTTCTCTAAGTTACTGTGGGTCTCCTAACAAAATGTCTTTAGATCTTTAAATCAACTTCCCCGTGTCAAAAGGGCTAGATTTGACCCCTCCTCTTGATAACTTTGCAGAATATCATTTGCACTTGGTTTAAGTGTCATCTGTCCCTGAAGTATCGCCACACTACGGAAGCCTGGAAATGCCAATGAGGGGTAAACATAATTTGATTCACAAATACGTTCAAACATGCATGTGAGTACACTGGCAGCTGCACGCTTTCGTACTACACGGCTCTTGAAGTTAAGGAAACTGCATTGTGTTTTTATTGTGCGCGCCTTGGCCTCCAGGCGGCGGTGCGGTGCACCCAAGTGGATCACACATTTAATAAAAAGACGCGGAGACCGTTGCAACCTGTCAATCTGAACTAACATAACTTGTTTTTCACAGAGGAAATTTGTACCTGTGAGTATGTTGTATCTATCATCTTTCTGTATGTTCCTATTGTCATTTGTGTTCCGATATTCATTATTTGTGGTTTATACCACAGCATTGACGCTAATTCGTTAGCCCATCTATGGCGTTGCGCATTACGTGTTACCATGCACTTTTGTACGAGGAAGCCACACATTTGATAATACATGTAATCTTTTTTGTGCTAGTTTTATAGTAAATTGTACTCGTTGACAAACAGCCTGAAGCAAGCACAAGTGCAATGTGATGAAGAACTGCTCATTATCTGCCTAACTGCATACCACAAGTTCAGTGCATGTCATGTCAGGCTGATAAAGTGGTATCGGTGAAGTAGTCAAGGAGCAGTCTTACGAGTATAGACGTACAGCATACTCTATGCACCGATACCGATGCAGGTATTGGTCTCGGTGCATCCCTAATTCAGATTCAGAATACAAATTCTGATCTAACAGAGTTCTACTACGATCACTGACATTCATTAATTAAGAGGTGTTTTCCAAGAACCTTTAAATATAGAGTATGTGTAAGTATAGATAATGTAGCGTCTTGACTGTGCTGAAAAAAAGGTCATGTTTCTGCAACACTTTTTTTTCCCCACCAGTGATAAACAGAGGAGGTAAAAGTATACTCACAATCTGTACTTAAGTACAAATGCTTGTGTAAAAATAAGACGTTGGTAAAATAGAAATACTAATTTAACTCCTATGCTTAACTTACAGGTAAAAACAAAAAGTGCAGCCTCTGAAACGTACTTAAGTACAAAAGTGAACATTATTTTTTAAATATAATTATATACAATGGCTATTTTTGATAACTTGGTACAATGGGGAAAAAGATTATCTTAAATAATACCATGGAGGGTAACTATCTTGCTACACTGAACTGTGGTGATCATTGTTAATACTCCCAGCTTCCGGTTCCTCCATGTTACTGCTGACACCGTTTTTTTTTCTCGAATGCGGTTAAAGCACGGAGTACAAAGGCAGATGCCTGTTTACAAATGTAGGGAGTAAAAGTAAAGCGTTGTTGGAAAAAGAAATACTTTCGCAAACTACCTGAAAAATCTATCTTAACAAGAACCAACCAAGAACCATTTGGGCTATTTGTACTTTCGTTACTTAGTTTCCACCGGTGGCGATAATAATACTTAGTGTAACTAGTCCGTCCAATATCAGTGTAGTGGAAAAAAAAAAAGAACCAATTTTTGAGATGTTTTTTATTACTCTGACTTCATGTTTCTCCTGCGCTCTACAGCAGCAGACTCTGCGTGAGGACCCCAAACCTCCAGGCCCGTCCCAGTCCTTCCTTTCCATGCAGAGGCAATCATCCCGCAGGAGGAAGGGATTGCAACCCCGGTAGATGCATCCTTTTTCCTATTGGTGAGGACGGACATGTAGAATGGACATTTATGTCCTCATGGACACCGAAGAAATCTAGGACGGTCTGTTTTATTTCATAGTGTGGTTGATTTCATGTGCTGCTATCCCCCTCTGCTGGCAAATGATGTAATTTATCTTTCTACGTCTTGTGACGTGAGGTACGCTATATTCTAAAAGGCTACTCTAAAATGTATCATAGCAAATTATGCAATATAACAATCAATATTCCTTGTCCACAGTATTTTTTATTCACCTTTAAGTCATTGGTTGTAATCTGTAAAAACACACTACTGAAATATTTCTACTGTATGTAACATGCCTTCTTCAGTGTCATAAAATAAGTCTCATCGCACTGCTGTACAGAGGTAGTTCTTTGAAAATGTTTCGTACAAAAAGTGCTTTTTCACATCGGCCTTACACTGTGGTTGCTCTAGTTTAACAAGAGACAGTGATCAAGGGATTAATAACGCATGTTTTGTCTCATAGCACCAAATACGGCCTTCCTTAACATCATTCATGGTAATACAATAAACATCAAAATGACAGTAGAGCAAACACTAAATGTTATAGTAATACTGTAAATGTCTTTTTCCATTTGACAATCTAAATGTGACATTTGTTTCCAATAGTGCAAATGATATGATTGTTACAAATTATAAGTCGAAGATATGCTACAGTATTTAGAGATCAACCATCATACAGTCTAAGTTCAAAAACAAAACAAGACAAAAAAAAATCCATAACGTGTTGAAGTCCAGGAGACAGACAGTGTCACCAGAGGATATTTAGCACTGGTTCTTTCTTTCTTGCTTGCTTGCTTACATACTTTCCTTTAGGCTTCCTGCCAAATGATGTCAAACAAATTTTTTATCTTGAGTTTGACATCTTAACTCCCAGTCAGCTCTGATCCCATGCTGACACTCCGGAAGCGCTGGGGTTCCAAAGATGGCACGATGAGGAAGGGCATTTTGTCTTGACCTAAATCAGGATAAGGAATGCAAGGCGCAGCTTTGTGGTGGTTGATAACAGGCTGTGAGCTGCAGTGCTCCAGACTGGTGTGGGAAGTGGGGTGAAATGAGAAAAGAGAGGGGTGAGGGAAGGTGACGGGAATGGTGGAGGCCGGTCGAGTCTCTTTCGAGTCATGGGGTGGAGGAGGAAGGTGCGACGCTGGAGATGGGGCCTCTGCTTTCTCTTCTTCCTCCAGTCTTGTGTGGCCTCCTTCAGCTCCACTCCCATATGTCTCAGTGTCCTCGTCTCCCTGGCTGTCAGTGTGCCCTCCCGGCTTCTCCTGCTCGGCCTCAAACTGAATCTCAAGCAGAGGCACTCTGGCGTTCTTCTCCTCCCTGAAACTACATACGGTGCTCTGGGTGTCCTGCCCCAGCCCAGAGGGTAATGAGCCACCTTTCCCTATTTTACAACTTTCACTGTCGTCGTCATCGCTGATGCACTGGTCGATGCTGGGGGAATGATAAAGTCTCTGGAGCTGGGCCGAGGTGCGTCTCAGGGCTCCGCTCATGAAGCCGGTATGTGAGGGGGCTGCGTTCAGGAGCCGGTTGAAGAGAGCCATGTTGGGGTGACGGCTGACTGACTCCTCCGTGTTCTCAGCAATCTCCTCCAGAGGCTGGAAGTGCATCTCCTCTTTGGGAATCCTACCAGATTGTACACGGGCAGTTCTGTCAGTTCTTTGATAATCAACACATAACATTGATGGTGTTGTTTGGGCAATCTTTATCAGGGCATGACACTGTTTTTTATTGCACATCTTTAGAAGGGATAAAAATATTTCCTGTACACTCTACACTTACAGTCAAAAGTACAGAATCTAAAAAAAGACAGGTTATATTAGAGGTGCTTAATTCAAAGTTTAAAAAAAGGGAGAAGACTGAAGTAAGAATGTTTTTTACCAGCATTTGTATACAATTTTTAGAACTTGGCACAATGAAAAAAACTTCTCTGCACACATAATAGTTTTTTTTTTAATTTACTCATGTTTTTTATTTAATCATGTTACTTTTTTTTTTTTTTTGTGATTTGATGATTATGTTCTCAAAACAACATATTCTCGATAACAATGCGCTGCCAGCATCAAACATTTCTATTAAATCAGGCCAAGGATGAGAATATCTTGCTTATCTGAATCTGTTGCCATCATCGTCAATTCTCCATGATTTATGCTCCTTCACTGTTGCCCCTGTTTTTTTTTTCTACCCCCTAAAAAGTAAGGAGCGGAAAGTACAGATATTTGATTTCACACAGGTAGCAAAAAGTAAAGAATCATAAGAAATCAAACTCAAATAAAGAACTGACATAAACTCTAGTACAGTAATGAAGAATTTGTGCTTCGTTACCTTTCCACCACAATCGCACAGTTTACTATTAGCTCTTACTTTTGGGCCATTCTAGTCTTCAGACTTTGTCACCCTGAAAAAAAATCCACACACTGCAAAAAAAGTCGTTCTAGAAGAGAGGACACTGTTGCTGAAAAAAAGGGTACTCTGTCCTATATTGTCTACCATTTTCTTTCCTGTTACTATCATGGCTATGTCTTCCAATGCTTTTATCCATATATTGTACTTTTATTTCTCGACAGTGTGCAAAAATAAAATGTAAAAGTCATGAATGCACAGACAATGAGAAGGTGAAACCCACAAACTCACGCCATGTCAAACGTGGATCCTTGGAAGGAGGGTTTGCGCAGCACAAAAAGAGTTGCAGCTGTATAGGGTGGCCTCGGGTTGGAGTCGTTCCAGTAGCGATCTCGTTCCATCATCGGCAGATCTCCATACATCTCATCCACTGCCATCATGGACACCTGCAGGGTCAAAGAAAAATGCATGTACAGATTGGCAGTGAAAATGAAATAAGCAATCTACATTGTAAGAATGGACTTTTGGTATTACTTTGTGATTTTAAAACGATACACCCAATTACTGAAACACATACAGTACAATGATGCCTTATGATGCGAGTGACCCAAGTTTTTTCTCAAGTTACCAACTGTCATTTGGCAAACTTTTTTGCTTTGATATACAAGTACAAATTTGAGATAAAACGCAGTGGTGGCAGTGGACTCAACCCAACTCACTTCACAACGAGCACCAGTTTGCCAGCGAGTGAACAACTTTTCAAGAAAAGAGGCTTCAGTCTGTCTTACACCCAACACTCCCAGTTGAAGTTTACTTTCACACTAAACATGAAATAAAGATAACTGCAGTTTGTATCTTTTAAAACAACCCCATAATTTAGTTCAAAAGGTGCAGTGAGAGATATTCAAGCTGCTCGCAGATTTGAATGAAGCGTCATTTCACTAACCCCCACCCCACTGTTGCGTAGCTGGCCAAAGCTACGCCCCTCACGAACATGCACGTGACATGCACCTGTACATACAATGCGCACCGTGTACAAGCAGAGCTTGGGGCTATCACGCTGGTAGCATAGATTGCTCATGTTAGACAGGTGCCAAACATGAAATGTTACCGGTTTGATGCTGTATTTTCTGGAATGTACAATCATTTAAAAGAGAGAGAAGAGACGTGATCAACTTCCTTGTCGAACCTTTAGTCAGAAATCAAGTTGGCTGTGTTCACTCCTACAACGGCGCAAACACCCATTTCTAACTGCACGCATATACTTAACCCTTTCATGCACCGTGTAACCTGATAACATGATAAGATGTCCACTGTGGTAACCGCTGTCCCTGAAGGGATTAAATACCAAATGAAAGAAAACTCCACCCTTGCCCAGAGTTAGACTGCACTTTGCACTCAATGAAAATCGGGCCCAAAACCAAAAATGCTGTTTTCCTTCACCTCTGCAGATATTACAAGAAGGATAATAAATACTGTAAATGCTTGCAGCACTGTCTCAAATGCTATTAGGATAGTGCAGGTGCAACAAAGTTCCCAGTGATAGACATGTTTCAATATTGTGATCAAGATTGTAAACACAGGAGACAGTGGATGAAGTGGAATGACAAATGAAGAGAAGAATCAGACAACCTGGAAATTTCTGTCAATCAACCAGTTCGTCTCAAAGTCGTCGTCATCTTCTCCAAAAGGGTTGATCAGCTGCTCTGCGACCTAAAGGAAAAGAAACATTTCGGAAGCGAAATATGAAAAAAAAATCCAAGTAAATATTATTTTATTTCATGAATTCAAAGTAAACAAAAAACTAACCTTGAGCCACCCGGCATAGAAGAAAAACTGCAGCAGGGTGAAGATGGGCACGTAGAGGTCAAGGTCATGGCCTGGGTAACCTTGATTAGGATCTAGGAACTGGCGACCGATCAGACATACCAGGAAAAAACTGTACACAGCTAAAGTCACTACCTGTAGGACAAAAAGGGAAACAGGTTACATTTGACTTTGATTTTACTGACCGCACAATTGGGTCAGAGACAAATGCTTTGAGTCACCTCTGTTTGGGGTCCAATATGTGTAATTTAAGTTTGCTTATTTGTCCATTCTGACACATCTCGATGGAAAAAAACTCATATGATCTCTTTCTGAGTTTCAGCCTCTTGGGGGAGCTGCAGCCTGTGTATCTATGCCAACTGCAGGCCCAAACATGCTTTATGCAACATAGCTGCATGAAATGCTGCTGGAACGACAGTCAATAATGCGAGATGTCTCATAACACAGACAGATAATTTACTGTTTGGATACACAATTTGCGGCCCGGTGGTCAATTGGTTAGCGCGTCGACCTCACAGTGCAGGGGTACTGGGTTCAATTCCAGCTCCGGCCTCCCTGTGTGGAGTTTGCATGTTCTCCCTGGGCCCGTGTGGGTTTTCTCCGGGTACTCCGGTTTCCTTCCACATTCCAAAAACATGCATGGCAGGCTGATTGAACACTCCAAATTGTCCCTCGGTGTGAGTGTGAGCACGGATGGTTGTTCGTCTCTGTGTGCCCTGCGATTGGCTGCCAACCGGATCAGGGTGTCCCCCGCCTACTGCCGAAGACGGCTGGGATAGGCTTCAGCACCCCTGCGACCCTTGTGAGGATAAGTCGATCGGAAAATGGATGGATGGATGGATATTTTTGCAAGGACGGCTCTCATAATCCTAATGCCAATAAAATTCTACGTTCATGATTATTTGCTAAAAGCTTTATCAGTTGGAACATTAAACATTATTTTTTCTTTGTAGTGTTTTCAAAGAAAAAAAAAGGTTTAACTTGATTTTCAAATCATTGCATTCTGTTTTTATTTATGTTTAACACAACGTCCCAACTTTCATTGGAATTTTTATTTATATTATGCCTTTTTTTCTGGAAACAACACCTTTATTCCCTAATAAAAAGGATACATTCTGGACTACGCATTTTATTGGCGAAAAATAGGATTTTATTCCTAACAATAATAATAATAATCATCATCATAATAATAATAATAATACACTTTTGTTTATAACAAAAAAAATCAAATTATTCATGCAGGGATCCCAGAATCATGCGATGTTGACACATCATAACCAAGTCATAGCTTTTAACTGACCCAAAGGGAGGATGTACAGTATGTAGAACTCATTGCCTTTTTTGGTTCTCATATAGGTTTGCATGTATCTTATGATACGACAACAAATTATATGTGGATCTCCAAACTACGGCTTGTGGAAACCCGGGCCTCCAGGGAGCCAAGTTTGAAAACCACTATGCTCCGTGGTTATACTTCAACTGTACACATCAGTCAGTGTGCCTGCACGAGGTAATGAAATCCCATACATGAGCTTTATGAAAAATGCCTCTCATTACAAGGATAATGTTCTGTTTTGAATGAAAGTAAGAGAAATACGAATGCAGCAACTTTTTTGTTCATGTGCTTGCAGTTTGCAAGCAGACATGCATGCTGTAATGGTGTCCGTGCAGGCAGTGTGGTGAGTACGTGTGCATGATAGTCTGTATGTCTGTACAGTATGTATTTGTAATTGTATCTAATTCTCAAATAGAGCCTCCCGACTGTAAAACAACACATATACTGTGGGGAGAGATTCTTTTTGGGAGCGTACAAAGTGACTATCCAGAAGAGCCAAATCGTGTCTGCTTACCTGAGTATAGACCAATGGAACACTGATCATGTCATAATGAAACAGCATGCCGCATTTCCCCCTGAACACATTCAGCTCCTGCTTGAAGACAGTCACAATGCCCGCCTGAGATCACATTCTAACGTGAAGCCTACCCGTCTGCGCGTGCATGCGAAGCGCCGACGCACCTCCAGCAGCAGCTTCAGCGTGTGATCATCTCTGATGCGGCCCTCGCAGCGGGCCACAGCAGCCAGGTTGGTGAACCACACGCAAGGGATCCAGTATTTGTTGTAAGGAGAGTGGAGGCCTTCAAACTTCTTGCGCTCCTCTCTGCTCATGAAACCTGCACAGTTTTCAAGTGCGAATGTGAACTGTCTTGAAATAGTAAGTCAGAGTGAGTCAAATGAAGCAACTTGACGTGAGAGACAATTGATTCCTTGATGTCAGATTTCTTGTTCTCATACCTTTGGGGAAGTTTAAGTAAATACATGAACAAATGTATTAGGATGCTGACTTATACAGGTGCACCCCAATCACTTAGTGTCACAAAATTTATTTCGACACGCAAAAATTGTCAATAGTGAGTAAAAGTAAAGTTAAGTGATATGGTGGAGCATCTGCACAATGTGCTCTCCGTTAGCACCAGACACTCACCAGCCTCCACCACGTGGTCCATGGTGGGGAAACGCTTGAAGACGGCTGTGCTGACAGATCTGAGGATGAGCAGGGCTGACAGACTGGCATAACGCATCATGGTGCGTCTGAGCAGGCGGCCTCGCTCATCACTTCCCTGGAGGCCCCCCGAGAGGACACACATGAGCCGATCGGGAAGGGGGATGCTTGTGTACTGGTTCCACCATCGGTTCACCACCAGGGTCACATAGAAACCTGCTTGCAGCGTTCGAGAGGAAACACGAGCCAAGGGTCAACTGTGCTGCTGGGAGGGCTGTACGAAAGCACAAGATGAAGCCTTATTTATGCTGGAGGGGGCCCCGAAATGTCATCATTTTCAATAATTTGGCTGAATTTTATGCTGAATGAAAAAAAATCACCCACCCCCCAAAAAATAAAGAACAACAAAACCCAAGATACCATTACATAACCTCTTGAAGTTTGTTTGTCCTATAAATGTGTTAGAACAGGAACACGATAGATCTACTTCAGCGTAGAAAGGTTCTTGGCTCAGGCCTTCCCGCGTGGCTTTGCTCCAAGTGCTTGTGGTTTATTCGGTTCATCTCAGGTTGCAATGAGGACTAGAAATTAATGGTGGGTGTGGATGTGAGCGTGACGGGTTCTTTATCTGCATGTGACGTGCAATTGAATGGCAACCAGTCCAGGGTGTACCTCGCCTTTTGCCCTAAGTTGGGTGTTCATTAGATCACAGACAGGAGGTAAAACTCAAAAGAGATCAGTGATATGGATCTTGCAAAGATGGCTTTGCCACTTACCTAGTACAAAGGACATTGGGATGAGACTGGCATAGTGGTTGCAGTAAATTGCCAGCTTCTCAAAATACCTCTTCTGATCATCAGGCAGCAAAAATCTAAAAGGAAAAAAAAAACATTAGAAAGATAAGCCTCCCAATTGTGATCTTTACAGACATGTGCGCCAGTCGGCATTGTTACCTGTATGTGATACTGATGGCTGTGTACATGGCAAAAAAAGCCAGGAATTCCTTATACAACACCTTGTAGATACTTCCTTTCCAAGCCAAAAGCAACTTGGAGAAGCCGCAAAAGCGAGCGTTTGCAACTCTGGCTGTGTAGGTGACAGTCATTGTTGCCAGCATGCACCGGCTCAGAAGAAACACTAAACTGTAGGTTTGAGTCTCCTCACTAATACCTGCATGTACAACACAAATGGTGTAGGAATAGAGCAGTGGTTCTTTCACTTTTTACAAGTACCACCTAAAAAAAAACCCAAAACTTAACTTTCCATCTGCCACCACCACGGCCATCATTAAAATACAATAACGGAACCAGGCCTAAGTGTTGATTAAAAGCGACAAAAATTCCAAAAAAGTTTATTCTTTATTATAAGCCTATTTAAATGATTTCGTTGTGCACATAAATACAAATTGAACCTCCAACATTTTGGAAGCAACACTTTAGAATTAAATACAAAGGTATTGTACTTAAATGTGGATTACAGCTTAACTGTATTGAAAAAAGAAAGTACCATACTAGATTTCTAAAAAGTTGAACAGACTGCAAGCTTCATTCTCGTGTGTTGGAATGATTGTGAATGTAAATTTTGTTTTTTCATTAGGTGATTCTTTGACTTAGAGGAAGGCCGCATACTACTTAGCAGTAGTTGAACCACACTGACAATTAATGGGATAGAGGTCACGATCGTACAGTATATCAGTTAATAATGCTTTTGCTGTCATTGCAAGTCTATACGGCATTCATCCAAATATCCATTGAAAAATCCAAATTTTAATCCACGAGATCACTGGTCCCCAACCCCGGGGCCGCGGACCGGTACCGGTCCGAGGGTCATTTGGTACCGGGCCGCACAGAAAGAACAAATAACTTACATTTCTTCCGTTTTATTCATTTTGGAATCTGAAAGATGTTTTATTTTGAAAAATTACCGGATTCTCTGTTACACCCGCCTCCAGTATGTCACACTTGACGCAGTCAAGGAGCGCTTCTCGGTCACGTGATAGGTTACCGCTAAAATGAAACCCAGGAGCTAGCAAAATGAGTAAAAAACAAACGTCTTCAGAAAGTTTCTTTGGGAATGGGAAAAGGCCCAGCCAGGAGACAGAAGAGGACTCTACGACTTCCAAGAAAACGAAAACTACCTTTAATTGGCAGTATCAACAGTCCTATTTAAAATATGGATTCAACTAAAAGGGAGATTCCCACGCACCAAGCCCACTCTTCATAATATGCGGCGATGGTGACCTGTACTTTTCATGCCCTTTGTATTATTTGCGGTGTATCTTATTTTGAACGTGTAAAAGTGAGCATAGCGACCAGAGAGTGTTTGGGCGAAAGAGGACGTTCCTCATGTCATAATTCGTGTTTATTATTCTGTTTAGAAAATGCCACAGTTTTCATACCGGTCAGATCATATTATTTTGATGTATTTATCCAACACACCTTAAAGGCCGGTCCCTGAAAATATTGCCTGACATTAAACCGGTCCATGGGGCAAAAAAGTTTGGGGACCACCGCACTAGATAATTACTATATTTAATGTACAGTATTTGCCTGAAATTGACTGGCGACCAGTCCAAAGTGTTCCCTGCCTCTGACTCAAAGTCAGCTGGGATAGGCAGTTTGAACTCATTTCCAACAAAACCGAGGACAGGCGCTTCAAAAATAAATGAATGGATAATTTATTCGTATTTTACAGTGGTGTACAAGTCCTTCTCTTGACAGTGAGCTGTGTGTTCCTTACGTAAATAAGGTCACCAAATTACAACAAACTTAAAACAGCTCGAGTATGACAGTGCAGTTCCACCACTTCAACTAAAGCTTCAATAAATGAGTAATTAAATCAAACTCACGTGCGCTTCCTAGTTGTCATACTTTAACTGTTTACTTTTGCATGAAAGAAATTGCATCATTGTTGTAACATTTTTGTACTGTTAATTTCTTGGGGTTACAATTTTAACATCATTTAGGTTACCAAATATGGATCCTGGACAGAAAATTCAACACATTGGTGATCATTTTGGATTTGGTGTAATGAATCATATTTCCATATAAATACTGATCATGACTTTGAAAATGAAATATCTTACCTGTCTGGAAGTGCTAATTGCTCATTTCGGTGAGTCGTGGTCCACGGGCGAAATGGCCTCTGTTCACATTGTGATTAAAGTCCTCTGCGAGTGTGTATGCGCTCCAATGGAGTTTTTGACTTGAGAGCACACGATCCTGACGTCCCCCGGCGCCTACATGGCACTAATCCTCGGAGGCTCCTTGGTGTGTCCAGTGGTCAGTGCGCCCCGGGGTAAATCCCCAAATGCAGGAGGACGAGCAGCTCGTTAGCACGGTTCCCGACCGGGAGGGGGCGGCTTGATGATGGAGCACAAGCGACAGCCCGTAAGTACCGAACTGGACTGAAGAAAATGATGAAAGCCGAGCAAGTGGAACTCGACAAACCTGTGTGTAGTGAGTATTAAAAAACAAAAACAATGTAAACTGATGATCCTACAAAACACATTGATTGTAAAGTGAAATGATGACAATCAAACACACTCTTCCTTTTGAAGTGCCCCCCGGCCCAAATCGTCAGTGTTTTGTGCGTATTGCCACAGAGCCCAAATGTGAAAGGTTATAACTGTAGCTTTATGCTTTGTCAAAGTAAATCCTTTGCTCAGTTGGGAGTGCTTGTGGAGTGTGTATGTGTTTTTCCTCAGGCACAGGTGTCAAATTCAGGGCCCGGGGGGGAAAATCCGGCCCACCAGGTCATTTTATGTGGCCCGCGAAAGCAAATCATGTGTGTCAACTTGCTAAAATCTGTACCGAAAAATTAAATTGTCATGTGTAATAAATAACATTGAGATTTGGCAAGAATTTTGTTATCCGGTTTACAATCACTTGAACAATAATTGAACAAACAATTATAGTTTACTTAACTGATTTCAAAACTAGTACAGTGATCCCTCGTTACTTCGCGGTTCGTTTATCACGGGTTCAGTGCATCGCGGATTTTTTTCAGACATATTAAAAAAATATATTTTAATATAAGTTAATTGGTCGCTACTTCGCGGATTTTCGTTTATCACGGGTGGTTTTGGTCCCCATTAAACGCGATAAACGAGGGATTACTGTAATCTATTAATTTGTTGTGTACAAGTAATAATTTTGGGGTTTCACTGTCATAACGGCTCTCCATGTGAAGACGTAACTCCAAATTGGCCCGCGACTCAAATGAGTTTGACACCCCTGGCCTAAGGTGAAGTGCTCGCTAATAACCCCATCAAATGATTGCCCACAAAAAAAAAGCTCTCTGTTGAATTAAGTTTTATTAACACTCGCAACATCATTTCAAGAAATTCCCATAGAAAAATGTTTGGTTGTTTTTTTTACTCTGATGCATTCACTGATAGATTTGTTTGCAGCATTAGCTGAGTCAATTTGTATCTATATCCACCCAAATGCTCAGCTCACAGTTCATGTTAGGTGACATTCACTAATTCATAATCAACAATGCACTTTATGATGCTAGACATGAGTGTTCTCATAAAGATCAGACAAAGTATTTGACAGTTCAGAGCTCAAACCTCATGCCATAAGCTTGGCAGGGCTCAAACAATATTTTTGATCACATACTGCCACTGAGTCTCGGGATGCTGACAAAGACCAAAAAAAAAAAAAAAAAAAAAATGCTAGTTGAATTAGTTATGTTTTTCCTATAAAGGTTAATTAAAACTGTCCAGGAGCCTTATGTGCAATTCTAGATAGTATTTAAATAACATACAGTCTTGAGATTGTGTTGGACAGGAAATGAAACCTAATATTGGTACTCTTTCTTGTAATGACATGGATGGTTTTGATTGAATAACATATGACCAAAATTCCACAGGTATGGTGTACTTTAAGAGCTGAACCATAATGTACCGCCTTGTTGTAAGATGATCACTGCTCAGTATGGAGGAAAGGAAGCCATTACATTTTTTTAAATTAGGTATGTTAGTGCTACAGATATGATGCATGATAGGAGAGTAAGGCAGCACCAATGTTTTCATGTTCTAACTTGCTAACAAGGTGGCTTATGAAGATGTGAGACGTCATCAGCTGCACTTGAAGCGTGCCTGGTTCGTACGCTCCGCTTTGCATGTGAGGGTGAGTACTTGATGGGTGAGAGGCCGGTTGTGGGAGCTCAGAGGGGCGCGCGGTCTTTGGGCAAGGGAAGTAGTCGGGGGTTGGTCCCGAAAGGAGGGGAATTACTTTTTTGGTGGCTTATAGGGATCCAGAAGCTGCTTCGAGAACGTATTGACCTTGTCAGCACCTCGAACTTCGTGGGGCAACAGAGGCAATTTGATTATGTGGAAATCTTCGTAAAGGTCCTCCATCTGTTGGAAACAAACACACACACAGAAAGCAAGTTGATATTTTGGCATCAAGAGCCACTGCTGCAAACATGTTCAATATCTAGTCATTGTGAAAACTATCAAGGATAATAGCCATTCATCCAATTTCTAAAGGTTTCTCCTCATTCGAGTCATGGATGAACAGGAGTCCAGCCCACTGTTTTGACCAGTGACTGTGTTGTATCATACCAGAAACACATACCTGGTCCAAATACTTGGACTGAATCTTGTGTCGTGCTTCACACATTTTACACGGCCTCTCAGCATCGGGGAAAACCAGCTGGTTCACGATGATGTTGTGTGTATCGATGCGGCACTTGGCCAGTTCTTGAATTAGTCTCTCTGTCTCATACAGGGAGAGGAACTCAGCGATACACACGCAAATAAAGGTGGTCTGCTCCTGTGGGTGGCAGCAAAGACGGGTGAGGTTATGTTAGTCTGATTTACAAGTTGGATTTCCAAAATTAATCATCCCACCAATCAAACATAACTACCATATATAGCCTTGGGTGCCACTGGATTTTTGTTGTTGTTGTTGTTGTTTCAACCAAAATGCTGCCAAACATAAATCTACATGAATTGAATTTAAATTGATCATCACAAGCTGACATGAAGTGTTTCCAAAGCGAAAAGAGAGGAACTCGTTTACAAAAGCACAGTCAGTGGAGCTAACTGCCTGTGATATTTTTGACTTTTCCAACCCCACGAGCAACTACTATTCAGTCGGGCTTGGCTACCTACTGTCATTGTTATTAATTTATTGTTTTACTGTTGTAAATATGATATCTGCTCCATGTACAGCGATGGTTGTTTTAAAGTGCTCTATAATATATACATTTGAGTTGAGTACCTACAGAATGTAGGTATGCACTTTTCTTTTTCAAATGACACAACAATTTGCTGCTCATTGTTTTGCAGATCCCCCACATTGCACTCACTGACCCAAGTGAAGAAACTGTGACTTACAGGGTCTTTGAACTGCTCACTAACTGAGCGGATGACAGGCAGAGTCTCTTCCAGCTTGGAGGCTAGCTGGTCTGCGTTCATGTCTCCCAGGCCCAACATGTTGCACATCTAGAAAAAAAAAATGGGAGATGTGAGCACATTTTGGGGACATCTTCAGTCAAAGAATGTCTGCGTTTTGACACCATTCCTCACCTGGGAGATGAAGGGACTGATTTGGTTCTTGATCTGCATGAGTCGGCCCAGGCCGCGTTCCACGATGGTGGGGAAGTTGAGCAGGCGCAGCGTGTGGCCAGTAGGCGCAGTATCAAAGACAACCACAGAGAAGTTCATTCCTTTCACCAACCTGAGATGAAGACAGAAACAAATTAAATTAAAACATATTGTACATCTAAAGTGTATATCAATCGGCACAGTTGAGTTCGGAGTTGGAGTCATTTTTTGATCATGTGAACCCGAGGGCTCCAGTTACCATTGCAGGGCGAGTAGAGAGTGGGGTACTAGTGACGTCAACCTCTTAAATCATGACACGTATGTGAGACATTTTTGTAATTTGAATTAAACAAAAGGCCCATGGTACAGTGTAGTGTTCTGACAGTAACTGTCATCAACAAACATGGCTTTGGATTCTTCGGATGTTTTTGTTTCTTCTCATTCACACAATTCCGTTAATTCCATCCAACGCCAGCAGGATATATTTATCTGTACCAATTAATGGAGATCAGTGGACTTTGGACAGCTCCCTCTCCTATGCGTGGAATCAGGTGTTACCGCGCGTGACTTTGATATTATTCAGATTCAGATTCAGATTCAGAAAACTTTATTTATCCCCGTGGGGCAATTAGAGATTTGATAATTTGATATTAGAACCCTTTACGATGGAAATGCAGTAAAATGGGATGATCAGCATTTTGACATGAAATTGACACTCACCTCATGACCTCTGCATAGCTCATAGCTTCATCAATGCCAGGGAAGGCGCTCATGGCCTCCTGCATCATCTTCTTGCCCATGCTGAGCATGTTGTCTTCCTCGAAGAACTCATCGGGCAGTTCTGCTACGCCCAAGCTTGGATCAATTTCCTACACTCACACAAATACAAACACATACACATTTGTGGAATAACAGAGTAGCATTGATTCAACCCCACCTCCGGGTATGCATTTTAGAGAATGATGACTTGTTCTGTGAGAATGTGAAATTGTCATAAGACTTAAAAGGCAATTTGATACGGATTGCTTTTTTTTCTAGCTTCTTAAGACACTGAATGATTTACACCCCTAACGTGTATACGTGCATCTTTCAAAGTGCACACTCACCATAGCAAACAGGTTGTCATAGCCCTTGACCTTTGTAGGCACCTTTGAGAACTTCTGGTCAAAAGCATCTGAGATGTTATGAGCGGGATCAGTAGAGATGATGAGGACACTCTCTCTGACGGCAGCCAGCTGGACAGCCAAACTACAACTGCGAAAGTTATTCAACAAATTAACTTACGTACCAACAGAAATAAAAACATTGGGATCATGGGAGAACATCAACACCAATTTTGCATTCTCTCCTTGGGTTCAGTATAGTAGTGCTTTTTGGGGGGGGGGGGGGCAACACACTCAGCCCGCAAGTTGCTTATATGAGTAAGAACCGAGTTGTTCCTGTTTTAAATCTCCACATTCGGAACAACACAATCCAAACCGAGAGCAAAATAGAGATTCTACCTCTGGAAGACTAAACGATTAATTCCTTTTAACACTGTGAAATAGGTCTTGATCTAACTTTTTTTTCTCTATTTAGCCACGATTATATTGATACTAATTTTGCGAAATTATATGCTATGAAAGAGTACATCAAAATTGCGAATTAATGAATTTGTTGAGACAAGATGTTTGCAACGCCTTTTGGGCGAGTGTATTTCATTTTCAAAAGCACCGTTTGAGAGACGAGAAATCGCAAGTACGAGCTAACGTCAGCTGTTACACATTGGGATTTGAACCACTGATAGGCAGCGTTGTCTTTCTCAAGAAAAAAAGAAGAAAATGCGTTCGTGAAAAGCTCCATTAGAAATCAGCTGTAAAAGACGTGAGTCATGTGTCCGTTGGCTGTCGCATGTTAGCCTCATAGCATGCTAGCCGGCATATTGACAGGAGAAAGAAAAAAAGGAAAACAAAACGCGATTTGAAGGTGGTGTTAAAAGAGTATACGTGACAACTATACATCGGGAGGTAACATGAAATGGTTTAATGACTATGGACCATGTCATCAAAGGCCGAAAGCTGATTGAAAACCTGCCAGCTTGACTCGGTGACATGGTCACTGTACCTCGGGGGTAATGAGCTGAATTTTCCACCTACCTACACGTCGTTTTGCCGACACCACCCTTTCCACCTACAAATATCCATTTCAAAGATTTTTGCTCGATAATATTCTTTAATGTTGGTTCTAAAGGCTCTACATCAGGCGCATCTTCAAACTCATCTTCCAACGCTGCCATCTTGTATGTGTGTGTCTTTAGTGTTGTCGTAAAGCTCCGATTGGGTGGGCGGGACCAACCAATTGTGCTACGTTCAATGCTCCTACGAATTCGGACTTTCAACGACTACTGGACTACAGTACTGGCATTCGACAAAACAATCAACAGGGGGCGAATCGAGTTGTCGATGTACCAATTTAGAAATGTAAACTTTTCTCACTTGTTTGTTTGTTTACTTTGTTTTAAAGGATTAATTCAAATATTAAAAAAGATATAGCCCCAATCATGAGGTTTAAGTAATCAGTACACAATTTTGAAAGCTGGTAGGTCAGAATTTGAATGTTATGCAAACCCATTCCTTCACAAACCTTCAGACATGATATTAATTTGATAGATTTTATGCTATTACAAGTATATACCTCATATGGAAAACAAGAGGAGACAAAGGAACTGTAAAACATTGGTTCATTTAATTCAAATGGGGGAGGGGGGCATTGGCACCAATAATAACACCTTTCATTTTTAAGACATGTATTTCATGTCAAATTAAAAAAGAATAATACACACTTTGGAGTGTTGTTAGTGAATCATTACGTACAGGTACAATATTCATTTGATTCTTAAAATCCATAAACTGCTTCAATAAAGCTAAGAAACAACATAATGCGGTGGTGGGCTGTACTTCACTGTTATTGGACAATGTTGCATTGTAAGCATATAATAAATATCAATTGCTTGATGTAAGAATTTTGCATAAAATGAATTTTGATGAAATAAACACGATGAAATTTTTTTTTTTAATCAATTGATGCCTAGACATTGCATTCCTAAGAGTAATCCCTTAAGCACTACTGAGTAAAGCAATCATTTACATTTACATGTACAAGCTGTGACCACAGGATAAGGCACCGGCCTCCATAGACATTTCCTCATTTCTTCACTAATTCCCAGCAACATGCTGATGTCAGATATTTCACTCTTGAGCTGCTCGGACTCATCATCTCTCACTTTCAAACAATGCCAAGCCAGAATCCTAATGTGTGTTGTCTGAGCTCTCACGCACACCATGCCACTGGGAAAGGAGCAACTTCGCACTCCATCTGACTTGTCACAGTCAGTCTGCCGTAGCCAGCGTGGCCAGAACGCCGGTCCCAGATCCACCCACTGGGAACGCAATCCGCATGTGGCCGAGCGCACCAGCCAGGTTCTTAGTGAACTGGCAACATCTGGAGGCAGAGAACTGAGGTCCACATCTGCAGCTTCCCTCGCCAACCCCTGCCTCTGGTTTTCTCTAGCCTTACTCAGCACTGCAGAAGCACTGAGGTTGAAGTCCTCTCTGGAAGCGGCAACATTTACTTTCACAGGGAGGGAGTCACCTCTTGCCACATCATCACAGTTACCTTTGCCTGTGCAGACCCCAGAGCCTTCAGATGGCTGATCAATAGACATCCAGAATGGGTCAAAAGAGGATCCGAGGATACGAAGTAGGCGCGAGGAGCGGTAATGCCTGGGTTTGGGAACGTAGGGGAAGTCCTCTGCAGTGGTCACAAAGGTGTATGGGCGAAGTGGCTGTGAATAAGAAGGCAGACTGGCTCTTAAGTGAAGAAACGGTGAATCCCCATGTTGCTGATCTTGAACATCATTGGGAAGCTGATACTTGGTGGATATGTTGGAGATGGAAGCTGCAGACACACGGAGCAGTGCACATGCATACATGGAACAGCAGAGATAAACATCCCAGTTGAGCATTGCTGATGTCTGAGTGGTCTTCAACAGGAGAATGAAATGTTTCCTGTTCTCCTCCTCTTCTCTTTTTGAGTTGTATTTGACCCTCTGTCCTGCTATTATTGAGGGCTCCAGGGACGTCATGTACCAGGCCCCAGACATCCTTGAGTTCCTCAACAATAACATTCACACAAACAGTGGGCTTATCATTGAGCATGGTCAATACACCCCTACGCAAGAATCTGATGTTTAGACTATCTTGTCATCAGCAAAAATACAGATGCAGCTGAGAAAGTGCATTTTGTTTTACTATATTTCTATCCAAGCCGGTGAGAATAAGAATTGGCTTTAATCAAGAACAACTTCAACTGATGAAGAACATGCTTTGCCTTAAGAGGAGGATTTTGACTTGACCTTGTTATGTCAGACAAAAAAATATATACATTTGATAGTTAGGAAACTAAAACTACATTCAAATTGCAATAAGGTATGCCTATATTTTCCGAAAGGATACATACTGTACATACATAGAAGAAGAATCTGTGCTTGGTGGTTGCGCCTTCTCGGCGGCACGCGTGTACCAACACTGATTTTGATTGGGAGGAATGTCAGCGCCATTTGACTGTCGTTGCTGGACAGCTCCGGGGCGCTTGTGCCTTGCGCCTGAAATAGGCAGCATTTTCACAGCCCCGCTTTGCTCAGCGAAAAGGTCGGTGCTGATGGACAGTCTGCGGCTGGATGGATGCATGGCTTGAGGAGCTGACGATGAGAAGGAGCGTCAGCGCAGAGCACCGATGCGTATGTGGAACTGGGAGCCGCGGCTTGGAATTGAAGCGGATTTACATGGGACAGGAGAAGAGAGCCAATCTCTTTTTCGTTAATGGATGCTACAGCTTCTTGTTGCTTTCAAGCTTAGCTTGTAGCAGACATGTGCACATTTCAGCATGACGTCTTTGATCCACTGGTGAAAAGGACACGTTGATTTCCTCCTCTTTCATCTATAACTGCTTCAGACAACAAAGTGTATGCAGGAAAGTGGTAAGATTGCACAATTGTCTCTGTCTAATGTGTTGTCTTGTATTATTTTGTCATTTTATGTTGACTTTTCTTTTGATGGCGGCGTGGGCACCCGCAGCGGCTCCTCTTGTTGTATGTTGACTTGAGAGGGAACAAATTTCATCTGTGTTGTACAGTATGTTGCACATACAGCACATTTGACAATAACGTTGTACTTGATACAATTCATTTATTTTCCCAACATAAAAGCTGTTTGGGACAGAGGCAATCAATCGTCTTACATTACTTTTTTTTAATATCAAATGTACATATGAATGTTTAAATCAACATTATAATGCATTTCATAAAAACAGTAATGTATATTTTTTCTATGCACAAAAACATAAGTTCATTTGCATTTACTATGCCTTAGGCAGCAGTGGTGTAGTGCAGGTTTTGGTCTACAGGAAATTTCCCAAGCAGTTCTGCTTGGCTCATTTTAGTATCACGTTGACAATGTTTTTTTTCTTTTTTGCATTTCTACAGTCAATTAATGGGCGGGGTAACAAAATACCAAATCTAGGCTAAGTGTTGACACCATTTATTCGAAGCACAATCTAGAATGGTATTGTATCCACAGGGAAGTCACAGACACACTGCCGTCTCCTGATTCAACAGTCAACAGTATTGTCCTTTGTCCTCTGTGTCACGGTATTCTTTTGTTACGTATTGTATGATGTCACCCAGCCGTTGTCACCATGGTCTAACTTAACTAGACTCAAGTGGAATATTTATCAGTTGCCACTAAAAAAACAGGAAATATCCTCCGCATCTGCTCTTATTCTTCGCGCTTAGATTGTTTTTTTAATTCCTTCCCAATGTTGCTCTTTGTGTTTATTTTTTACATTGCTGTTTGTTTCCATACCAGTGATGCTGGTGTATATGGGTGAATACTGCTGATGTGAACATTAATTTAGCTCATGGGATGAATAAGGTATTTATTGTTCTAATCTGCACCATGAAGAGCTTTACTGAAATGGACCATTTGGTTAAAACATGGCTTTCAAGGCCATAGTTGTACTCATATTTCAGTGATCACATCTGCTTGTTTATTAAACAAACAAACAAACAAACAAAAAACATCTATTTGCTCTTTTATCATGGCTCCCAAACCTAGAGGGAAAAAAGCTGGTCATGTGAACTGTCCTGTTGCTTTGTCGCCTGTGGCAGCAGCCTGGCGGGGGAAGGCAGTGTGCCACAGGTCGTATGGCTAGGCTGGTCAGATTCCTTTGCACGATCATCCAAAAACTTATCAAACTCTGGAAACAACAATCAGAGAGTAACCTTTGCATTGTGACACACACATAAACATTCAAGAGAAGTGATAATATCATACTAACAACAGGAAATATATACTGAACAGAGGTGGCAAATCCAGGTCCAGAATGTTAAAACACTGCCACAAATGAGCTCTTGAGAAAAAGCACCTGACAAACTGTGGCTAGTTTTGCCACATCTCCATTTGTACAAAAAAAAAAAAAAAAGTGACCCACCTTCACTGGATACTCCCTCACTGACCGCAGATTGGTCTTCCTACATTTTCAGACAAAGGAAACCACATAACATTAACGATATCCATATCTGTTAAGGTATTGGCCGAAAGAAAAAGATGATCTCACCATGTCACAAGACAGCCATTGATCCACATTGTTCTTTAGAGTGTTTTTTACTTGCTCCATCTAGCAGGAAAAGCAATACAAAAAGACTGGGGCTAACATTTTATTCCCAACAAAATGTTCTTGAATTGAAGCTTCATGTATATTTAAGCCACCATTGTAAAAGACATAGAAATTACATTTGAAAACTGACAGACAGAAAGTAATGGTGACAAGACAATGATTGTACAGTAGATGCTATTTTACGATTTTTATTTTAAATAGACAAACAGACTGCAAACACACAACATGGGTGGTGTCCAAGGCAGCTCCACCAATATTGTCAGAGAATTGTTTTAAGATAAAAACATCTGTTTTTGTGCTACCACCCAAATAAATAAATAAATAAATAAATATCACATTATTCAACAAATTTTTATTATTCTTTTTAATCAGAGATGCAAGTAAACTTTGAGTCAATTTTTTGTGTGTCATAGCTATAAGTTACAATGCATGCTAAATCCGTATTGAGCTCGGTTATATAAATCAAACATCTCAAAAACCTGATGTACTAGAAAAAAAAAATGTCTTTACATTTTTATTTTTTAAATCAGTGTGATAATATATGTTTACGGACACATAAAACCCATGCATCTCTGAGTAAAATTTGCTCTTGACCAGCTTTATAATTCATGTTTTGTACATACATTTCCTGTGACTTGCAGCTTTGAGTCGAGAGCCCCAGCAAGACCCTCTACAGCGCCAGGGTCTTCATACCTAACACTGAAAACACATCCAAGATTCCTTTTGTAATCCATAAAACATCCACATGATTATACCCATATCAGATATAAATGTGAACCTCAAAATGTGAGCAACCTATAAGAACACGCAGTTTGGAAACCAACACTGTTGTCAGTGTTGGGTAATGTTAATTTAAAAAAAAAAAATCTTAACCCATTGTTTGTATTGATAATGTTTTATCATGACAGGGGTTTGGACTCAGAATGGAATATTTTCATTGTTTTCAATGCTAATAATTTGCAATCAGCATCCCAGACCAAAATGTATTTGACCTTAAGCGGTTTCATTGTATTCCATCAATGCAATTGTTCATTTTATTGAAGATACAGAGTAGTACACAGTTAAATGTTTTTAGGCCCACATTCTGTATGATGTGTGCACTATTACCATTTACCTCTTTCTCAGCTCTGCTAAGCAGCTTCCTCGGGTTTGAGCAAACATATCAAACTCTTCCTCATCTACTAAAAGACAGAAGATTCTTGAAAACAATTATACAAACTAAACATAAAAATTGACCCATTGTATTATTATTATTATTATTATTCGCAGTGGCAAATACGGTAAAACATGAAGTTGCATGTTATACTTCTTGCATTACATGATAAAATATATCAAAATTGATCTTAGAGATACACCAGACTCAAGCATGCTTCATATCATGATTTTGTGTCGTGAAAAGGAGACACAAGAATAACTTTGTGCTCACTGTGGTTGTCCGACTGCCTCTGATTGGTCCACGTGTTGACTTCAGGTTGATTGTTTGTAGTGATGACAGCAGGCTGGTTGAGTCTTGAGGGCTCTGGACTGAGGTCGATGAGGTTCAGGTGGCTGACAGGACTCTGGTGGGAAGATTATACAAAGAAGTATGTGCTTCAAGATTAAATATGTAGAACGGTGCAACGGAGACAAAGAAGTAAAGATCTTACTTCTTCAGTATTTGTCATTTGTGCCTTGTTAAGTCTGTCAAACCTAAAATGGAGAGTCAGTTTAAGATACACAATGAGTATTCGTATTTCTCCTTTAATCATGTAGAATAGGTGAGAGAGGCTGTCGCATACCTCTCGTAACGGATGAAAGCATTGTTGAGGTCATCATTAACCACAAGAAGCTCCTCAATGAGTCCTTCATCCAGCAACTGGGGGATGAGCTCCACCACTCGAGTTTGCATGTTCTTACACACTGAGTAGAGTTGCTGCGTTGAACAGAGGAAAGCAAAGAAATTCATAGACTGTCATTCCGCCGGGCTCAATATTCCTTTGTTCATTTAAGGAGCAATTTTGCTCATCAATTACTTAATTTGAGGAACAATTTAGTAATTTTGAGGAACATTTTTTACAGGTTAATCCCAGGCACTTAAACAAGGGTTTTATTTAACAATACAAAAACGACAATATAACGGTCCTGCATTGAGCCAATGACGTCGCAAGCTGGTTGACAGATCCGAACTGTGATAGCGGCTTGTGCATTGATGAAGAAGGCACCTCGTAGCTGCGACAATTATTGTAAATTTCACAACACACTGACATGCGTATGTGACAGTAATATGCTTGATTTGGGCACAAAGACAGACTTTCACACCGGTGGGGCTCTCTTCCCCCATTCGTTATGAGGGACACAACGGTGTTGCTGCGTCCCTGCCTCTCGAGTAGGAATGAAGGGAAAACAAAAATCCATGGTAGTGGCAAACACTTTGATCATTAAAAAAATATACATTCTGAACTATCACGATGTGTTTCAGGCGTAATGAGCTAGCATTCAGTGATGTCTTGACAATTCAGTAAGTGGACAAAAAAAAAACACAAAACATTAAACACCAACATTAAAAAAAAAAAATTACAGCATTAATTCACCTTCAGACACATAAACATGAAGAAAATGAACACACCTGCAGAAGTTCTGTATCATCCTGCTTGCTCTGTCCGGGTTTAACTTCATTCAGCATTTCATTCATGACAATGAGGTTTCCCTTTACAAGTGCAAGTTCTTGCTGCAGCTTGTCTTTCTGAAGAGGAAAAAGAAGGGGAGAAAACAAATCGAAAATGAAACACACTACAATGCAATTTTACAGTGCTTATCGGTTTCCCTCAAATAACAATGAATTGAACATATGGATTACCGGCACTTCATGTGTCTCTTTCCAAGTGAGTTTTCCACTTGAATAAATAAACACCTCAGCTGAATGGACACCTCCTTAATAAGAGCAGGTAGTGCCACTACTTGGCTGTAATTACCTTTACTATGACAGATAAAGGAAAACATAGTAGCTAGTGGTTAGTAGGCCTGCCTCACATTTCTAAGGATCTGGATTGAACTCTTAGGTCAGGCCGTCCTATGTGGAGACTGCATGTTCTCCTTCTGCTTTTGTTGGTGTTCTCCAGGTACTGTGGCTCCTCCCACATTCCGAAAACAAGCATGTTAGGTCCCCTGAAGACTAAACTGTCAATATGTTCGCGTGAATGGTTGTTTATCTATATTATACTGTATTCTCTGTAAATGGCTGGCAACCAGGCCAGGGTGTACCCTGCCACTCGCCTAGTCAGCTGGGATCGTTTCCACCTCACCCAAAACCCTAGTTCGGACAAGCAGTTAAAGAAAATGGACGGATGAATATGGCTGGGTATTAATTTGAGGGAAATAGGATAAAATACTATTATATTAAATAATATAATAAAATGCATTTGTACAAATAAATGAGGAAGAACGTACATGCTGTAATTATAGTCTGGATGGAAACAAATACAATTATTTACTGTACAGTATATAGTCACAATGAAACACTGCATCAGACATCTTCCAACCCGATGTGGAGTCCTGTTTTTCCTCTCTACTGTACAGGGTGTGATTTTATTTTATTTTTTTTAGGCGGTACCTGCTCTGCCGAGAGGGCAGGTAGTCCCTCAATGGGCTGAGATGCAGGTGAAGAATTTGTAGTAGGACAACTGGAGGGAGTTTGCGGTTGTGACTGATGAGGAGGTGCATCCGTGGACTGGTGGGTTTCGTTTTCTGGCACAGTCTGGAGGCAACGAATGTACACTTAGACAAACACAATGCATACAGTACGCACGAATGGTCACAACATTACTCAGAAGTCGACAAATATATTGTACAGACATGGTGCAATTTAGATGCATACTGTTGATTTTCACCCTGCAGACAGACTCACCCTGCTGGGAGTGTGAATGGGCGATAGAGCATCTAAGTCTGTCATGGGAAACTCCAAACCTCGTCTTCTCAGGTCATCATAAACATAGACCACGCCCCCAAGGGAGGGGGAAGTACGGAAAGCATCAGCCCATGACTGAGAAAAGCACAGAGAGCCCTCAGTATAACTCCATGAAGACATAACAAAACTTGTACTCAGAAATAACTAGAACAAAGGAAACACCAGTCCTGCAGCCTTTTTTTCCAAGAGAAATTTGATTGTTACTTTATATGTGACCTCACAAGAACATTAAATGTAAAACTCATTTCGCCAGCCAAAAATACATAAATAAAAGCTTCGAACAAATAAAACAGTTTACATACTTGTATGAGACTGAGCACCCTGTCATGGAGAACAGTGGGCGGATTATATTTGGGCAAAATGGCTCGCACTAAAACTCCTTCAACAAACTCCTGTGACGCCACAAACACGTGGAAGCGATGGCCGCAATTCTTTACGCATGTCTCAAGAACCTGTGTGACAGTGAGCAATTGAATGTTATCCTGAAGAGCAAGGGTAGTCTCTTTCGAAAAACACATTTATTTACTGCATTATACACTCAGCACAAGACAAATAAAAACAGACAACAGATCCATAAAAACACCTGAGCAGATGAATACTCACAGTCAGGGCCAACATGATTTCTCTAAAATTCTTGTTACCTACGATCCTCTTCTTAATGGCTTTGACTGCATCTCTTGGTCTGGAAAAATAAATATAATTTCTCATTTTATTTTTAAACTAGAATGGTAGTGCAATGACGTGCCAAGGTTACACTAACAAAACAAAAAAAGTGTATTGGGGTTTTTTTTGTCCTTATTTTTGCACAGGGCATTTCCTCTGTCACAGAGGATGACGTACAATCACTGCAGAAGAAGACCGTTGGAGGGATAAAATAAATTGAGTGTCTTCAAAAATTACATTTCTTCAATAAGAGGGGAAAAAAATCCATCCAATTTTTTTTTCATTGGGGTGGCAGGTAAACTGGAGCTAATGAGAGGGTATACTTATTCATACTATTCACATTTGGTTGTCTTTCTATTTGTTAGCAAGCAAAAATGTGGCTCAGATTGATACAAGACATTATGGAGGGTCAGGACTTAACACATTTGCATTGAAGGATGAATGGAGGGGTGACATGATGACATCATTGCTTCAACGATTTTTATCTGGACTTTGACCAACATGTAATCGTATTCGGTTCTCTGTGAAACATGTGCCACCACGCTTGGCAACAAACGTGTCATTGCTGGCTGTTTGCTAAAGCTAAAATTATATTACCACAGTCAAAAAAAAATGTAGCAGAAAGACAGTTGCATCAGAAGTTTAATTTTTTTTCTTTTTCTACAGACCACTTTATACACAATATAACTGAGCAAAACAAATGACATTATTCCATACCCCTCGTCCGTCTCATTGATGATGTCACATATCTCCATGTTAAGTCCCCAGTCCTCTGACTGCCGAGAGCCGCTGGTCGCTTGCTCTGTTGACCCAAAAAAAAATGGGGAAGGAATGTAGTGAACTACTGGAGGGACAGAAATAGAGGTAATACAACTGCATGGTACTGAAATTGCAAAGGCTTATGGGTACATAATATTTATTATATAACTGAAACAAAAAGGTTTCTGGAAAAAAAATATTTTCAATGCAGCCTAACCAGTGTTTCTATTGAATTGATATCATACCACAAGGCTGCATGATATTTATATACAATACTGGTACATTCATTCCCTGTCAGGTAGTAAGAAAATAAGTTTACAGAACAGGATTCACTAGAGGTTGTCATGGTCATTTACTGGTCAGTCCATAATTTAAGTTAAATTTAGTTATAGTTTGAAATGGGCGGTCACAGACAGGATAGCAAGATCTCTTAACACATTCGGTTGGAAATCCATTTTGTAAAATAAACTTTTTTTTTCAACATAATCCTGCCCATTTCTTTGTGAGCATGTTGCATTCTCAACTCAAACTATTTAGTAATCACAGCCAACTTTCTCCAGCCCTCACATGTTCCTCATAAATCGCTTTAAATCTCCTCCAGTCCTTTTACATCCTATGTTAGTCGATCCCATTTACTTTGTTGCATATACTCCCCCTTCCAAGTTCCACTTTCCAGCTCTGTGCACTTCATGTGACTGTCAGCTGCTTGTGTTTGCCCCAGAAGGAGCTGAAGCCTCTAACATTTATGTGTGAAAAAATGAGTGAATGATATAAGAGGTGGGAAGGGTCGAGAGGGCTTTGCAATATTCTGTCACTAATTGAGTGCGCAGATGAAACTAAATTTCCTGGATTCACCTCTTGGCCCTCAGCAGATGCTACATTGTTTTACAGAAGACACAACCATTTAAATGAAGGTCTTCTGTCTTTTGTTTAATGGAGAAAGACAAAATCAGCTATTGCTTGCAGTATGGGAGTGGACAGCATCTTTGTAGTATATGCGAACACCCATTTTTCATTGTGAACATCATTTCAATTTACATCTGGGTTTAACAATTACATACAAAACTCAAGAAACCTTGCAAAGAAACAACACTGTCAAAGATATGTGCTTTGTACACAAAATGGGCATAAGTATTCGGATGCCTAGATTTTACACATCATTTGCAATTCTAAAAGGTGGTGACATATGTCTGCAGGAATATTTACCAATTCATCCAGAAGAAGATTTGTAAAGACCAACAGCCTAATCTCTGTTCTAGCTCTGCTAATAGGTAATTGATGGAGTGAGAGTGGGGATCTCAAGCTTTTCTACATCAAAATCATCCAACCATGCATTGTAGAACTTTGCTTTGTACTTTGGGGAAGAGTCATTCTGAGACAGAAAAGGGCCTTGGATTATTTTTACAATGCTTGGGATAAAAACTGAAAGAATTACGGGTCTTGATCTGTTTAACCAATTGATATACATATCACAATGCTATTTCTTGAGGAAGACCAAATTCTGTCTTTAAAAGACGCTGCTGAAAGGAAGAATGGAAAATTCCCAATTTTGTTTAATAAGGAACAATCACATGCTCTGAAGTTCATTACCCTGTGTGACACTGACATTTATATCTAATACAGTTCAATATTTTACATCGTGTAAAATGTAACTGGAGGTGGTACAGTCGTGGACCGTGAGCATGTCTGCCTCATGGTGCATCGGTCTGTGGTTTGATTCTGGGCTGCGGCCTTCCTGTTTGGAGTTTGCATGTTCTCCCTGTGCCTATGTGGGTTTTTTTCTCCGGTTTCCTCCCGCATCCCCAAAACATGCATAGCAGGTTCATTGAACGCTCTAAATTGTCCCTAAGTGTAATTGTGAGCGCAAATGGTTGTTTGTCTATGTGTGCCCTGTGATTGGCTGGCAACCAATTCAAGGGTGTACCCCACGTACTACAGTACCTGAAGACAGCTGGGATAGGCTCCAGCAGGCACCCGGCCTTTGTAAGGATAAGCCGCTTGGATAATGGATGGATGGATAAAATGCAACCGCAGATCTACATAACTTCCACTGTTGTTTACTTTTAAATACAAAAGGATATGCAACAGCCACCAGGCGTATTTTAATCATGTAACTTAATCTACATCACATCTGATGTGCAAATTTAACATAAATAGCAAGTACAAATCAATAAAGGCACTTAGACCCCTGATGCAACGTTTACCTTGAGCTGATGTGCCCCGCCCACCCGCAGCATCCCTGGCCAGAGATGGGAACGTCTCACAGAACAATTTTTGATGATGTATTTTATTCATGTGACACGGATACAAAGTGACAAGTCGTCCACACACTGCAAATTAGATCCCCGAAGCCCCAAATATATTGCAAAGTTTACGTTTCTGTGAAGTAAAAGGTTAGACAGATGTATGACTAAAAGTTAAATCCAACGGCACGTGCTGGGGTTAGGCTTTTCTAATTTGGATTAGTACATATGACTCCCCCTGTTGGTCACAGCAAATAATACAGATGATGACACATCTGCATTGTAATATTCCACAGCTCTCCAAATGTTGGAGGCGTTTCTTTCTTTTTTTACACAGCACTGTATGTAGCAGTATAAGTAAAGTGAAACGAGCATCAGAATAAACACATTAGCGTTGTTCTTCTCCACTCATTGGTAGACTGAATCGCCATTTAACACTAAGCAGCCAATCAGTTGGAAGATTAAAGGTACTACCGCCTACCTAGTCGCGTGATTAGTTCCGCTAACTTGACAATCGCTACCAAATTTGGATTACCCCTTCACAACAACCGAATTCGAACGCGAAACATACAAACAAGACATTGTGTGAATTGATTGCTGTATCTGTCTGCGACTCACCGATTCTCTGGCCAACAGGTGTGGAAAACGGGTTAGCTAGGAGAAACTCCACCTTCTCCCCGAGAGAAAACATCTTGTTTGGTTGGCAGCGTTTCGTGAGACGTCTGAGTTCGTATGGAAGACTTCTCTGTTGTGTTCTTCTCCGCAACTTGCTCGAGTCAGAGGCTTGCTGAATGTCACGTGAACTACGAACGAACACACACACACACACGCACACACGCACACGCACACACACTCACGTACGCACACAGAGGAAGTGTGTAAAGAACGCTAAATCCGCTCTAAATGCGGAAGTAAATGACTGAATCAATACGGCAATATATTGAACAGAACGATCTGCGATTTTATGAAATAGCCAGCGCTTGTGTTATACGCTAATGCTGTTTTAATACAGAATTTGGGTTAGTGCAATTTAGCCCCGGACTGCCTGTGTGATTCTTTAGCACCATCTAGTGTCACCTCTGAATCTCACACTAAAAGTTGCCGATTTCTGTGCAGTCACCCTCTTTTGTTATTGCTTTTCAAGCTCGTTTTGAAGTGTTTGCAAGGCAAAGGTGGAAAAAGCACTTAACACTCCATAATGAAGTACAGTATCAGTAAAGTAATACAAATACTTGAGACAAGAAATAATTTGTTTGCAGAAGTAATGATGTAATATTTCAACTCTCATGTAGGTTCATAAAGTAAACGGTAAAAAAAGAAAAATACTGTGCATAGAAATATGTACTAAAAATTCAAAAGCTCTAATACCGTTTTACTGTTATTTATATACAATATCCAATTTGTATAACTTAGTACAATGGAGGGGATCTATGAACACAAAACACAGAACTATTTTGTATTTTCTTTTTTTAACTTGAGCAGTGCTCATACTGACAAGAAAAAAAATGTTACAGATTTAAAACCAAGAGCTAGAAGCGTTGCCTTGAATTTTTTTGCAAACAAAAAAAAAATCTTTCTCAAGCTATGTTAACATTGTGAACTAAATTCGAAACCATATCATGGTAGCATTTAAAAATGTACATCTTTCCTGTGTTTTTGTCAGATTAGACATATATTTTCACGTTAGAAACTTGTGACACTCCCCACAAATCGTTTTTGGGAAATATCTAATGTGCTTCTGCAAATCTGTTGCTGTTGTTTTTTTCATGCTCCCTGGTTCATATTCCACCATTTCGTTTCCGTCCCATTTTGTTCTGCCCTTTAAGACCTCAATCAAGATTTCAACTGGTGTTGCAAGGGACATTGTGTACTTTGCTGCAGTAGCGGCGGGCCCTGAGATCGTGCACACTTGTCAAATAGTGTCCTGTAAAGTTTTGACATTGCAATAGCAAGTTTGCAATACTGTATTTAGATTACACTGTGTGACGTGGAAACCTGAAAGACAAGTGACATAAACAACAGCATCTTAATTTAAGTGAAAGTGGATAATAGCTTCAAATACTTTAATGTGGGGCTTCTTTAACAACTAATAAAAAATTGAGAAACCCACTGAAAATTAAATATTTCTTTATGTTTAATCACAAAGTTTAGTTGATTGTGGTCTAAATCATATTTTAATCTTGAATGGGACTACCTGTTACAAGGCAAAAATAACAACTATGACAAATTTATATTTTAAAACAGAAATTAAACAGAAATTTCACGACCTAATACAGCTGTGAGTGAGTCGTTCTAGACTGCTGCCCCACTGTTACGAAACAGAGGAAGCTGATAATTCGGGCAATAATGATCACCACAGCTAGGATCTCAGCTAATGACATGGCAGCGAGGGTGGATGAAATTCCAGAGTGACAATGCAGAATTGAAGAGGCTGCTGCAACACTTCAAATCAAAGCCAGAAGGTAAGCGGCGCTGCCATTTTAGCACATATGAGCGATAGAAAATATGATTTGCATCTTTATTTTTATTGTTACAGGAAATTACTGAGTGAGTCTATATCTCACTTCTGAATCTGGTCCCTGTGACAAAAATAAAGTTTTACTGCTATTCTTTTTAAATTAGTGTTTTTTTTAAACATTATTTTTTGCGTTAAACTTCGCGTAGTCAACTACCTATACCTCGATGTCCTGTTGTTTTAAATGTTGCTGCCGTAAGGAATTGTGGGTAACATCTTTCACAAAGGTTTGTCAATAGTTATCTTGACTAATTGGGGCTTACAGGTTGCATCCAGGCAGTTTCGGCAAGCATTTGTAAAATTTGAACCATCTTATCTTCCAACTACTTCCGGACAGGCTCAGAAAGGAAAAACGAGAATTCGAAAAGGCCCAATGTCCCCGAATGTGTGACGTAGAACTCACATTTGATTTCTGCATAATTACCGCTAGATGGTAGCATTGAATCAAGGTTCGATTATTATATTGCCCAACATTGCGGTAAGCAATTAAAATGTTCGTAACCTCTACGTTCAGATAGTTCATTGACATGTCTGCATTGAAATGACAATTAGGGGGATTTCAATTAAGTTGTCTTTTTGGGGATCCCTACCAATCTTGTAAAGACAAAATAGTGAGTGGAATGCATCCATTCATTCATGCACGAAAAAGAACAGAAGCAAAAATATGCCAGGATGGAAAGTGAGGAATAATATGTTCTAAAGAGCACATTAGTAGAGCCCAAATTAAGTGCGATTTTAAGATGTCGAAAACAAATTGGATTTCGTCATCCCTCATGACGTTACTCTGCTCCTTCGGTGTTCGTCCCACTACCGCGTGGTAAATAGCAAACCCGACCTGGTATCAGTGCTCTTGATGTCATTGAGTATTGGCCACGCTCCTAAAAGCCACACGCCAACACACATACCACAGTTTAATTATACTTGTTAAAATCAGTTCATTTCTTTAAGTCTCTAAGGTTTTTATATTAATGTTTCATACTATAGTATTATTTTTCTCATAGAACTAAATTATGTGGTTATTTCTGGGGGTTGTAACGGATTTCAATTTCTTTTATATTTGAAGAAATGATTGACAATGATGAGGTTTTTTTATTTATTTATTTTTTAAAATTTATTTTTATTTATTTATTTTTGACAATTATTAGGTGACCGATGTGACATATGTCCAATGAAGCGAAACTGAATCGGTGGGATCTTTTTGGTTTGTTCGGCGGCGAGAGGAGGGGCGAAGAGGAGGGGGGAGGAGGGAGAAGGAGAGGGAGGAGAGACAATCGAAGCAGGAAGGAAGGCAGGCGGAGAGAAGGAAAGAGAGGTAGGCTGTGAATGCTAACAAGCCCGTGGTAGTCGTCCACAGCTTCCCAAACATGTAATGGAGAGAAAGGACAAGCACCATTAAGCTAGCTACTATGCACGAGCGCCTCGGTCTCCTCCCCGTGCGCGTGCCGCTGCCTCGCAGCCATCCGCACGTTTAATCCAACGAGTGAAAAAAAACAACGAAGGTCTTTTCCCCCCGCTGAGTGAAATGTATCGCGACTGCACGGGAACCACACTGTGACAATGGAGATTGAAAATATCGTGGCCAACACGGTTCTCCTCAAGGCGAGAGAAGGTAAGCGCGACAGTCATATGTTTTTTTTTTCCGCTGAGCCTTGTAGTGGAGGACGAGCCCGGTTCCCTCCAGGTTCTCCTTCATGTGCTCCTTGTTGGCTTTTTGCTTTCAAATGCATACCTGCGAGTTGCGTGGTGTCCTCACAATTATTGCTTGACCAATGAAGCGAAACTGAATGGTGGGATCTTTTTGGTTTGTTCGGCGGCGAGAGGAGGGGCGAAGAGGAGGGGGGAGGAGGAAGAAGGAGAGGGAGGAGAGACAATCGAAGCAGGAAGGAAGGCAGGCGGAGAGAAGGAAAGAGAGGTAGGCTGTGAATGCTAACAAGCCCGTGGTAGTCGTCCACAGCTTCCCAAACATGTAATGGAGAGAAAGGACAAGCACCATTAAGCTAGCTACTATGCACGAGCGCCTCGGTCTCCTCCCCGTGCGCGTGCCGCTGCCTCGCAGCCATCCGCACGTTTAATCCAACGAGTGAAAAAAAACAACGAAGGTCTTTTCCCCCCGCTGAGTGAAATGTATCGCGACTGCACGGGAACCACACTGTGACAATGGAGATTGAAAATATCGTGGCCAACACGGTTCTCCTCAAGGCGAGAGAAGGTAAGCGCGACAGTCATATGTTTTTTTTTTCCGCTGAGCCTTGTAGTGGAGGACGAGCCCGGTTCCCTCCAGGTTCTCCTTCATGTGCTCCTTGTTGGCTTTTTGCTTTCAAATGCATACCTGCGAGTTGCGTGGTGTCCTCACAATTATTGCTTGAAATCAAACCAGCTGTTGTCACCCTTAACAAGACCAATATTAAGCGGGCAGGTTTAGGCCCTGTTGACAGGGGGGTGAACAAGGCAGGGAGTGTTTGCAGCATCGGTGCATTGCAGCGGCCCGAGCGCATTTTTCCACACATGCACCAACGGCTTTTAAAAATGTGTGTTTACATCTGATGGTGCACATATTTAATGATCTGTTACACGAGTGGTGACATCACCATCAGGGGGCTCGAAGCAAGCCCTCTGTATACCTGCCTGCTACTAGCTGATTGGTACTATTTGACTCAGAGGTGTGCCACTTAAATTGACTGCCTGAAGTGCAGGTTTGAAAGGATCTGGGGGCTTTAGAGGGCCCAGCTGTACAGCCCGAGCTTGCATAGTGCTCCGTGGGCTGGTGATCGGGGTCTCACCTGGAGGTGGAGGATCACAGGCGAGGGTGCATCTGTTTGCAGAAGATGGCAGAGCGCGAGAGGGGGCGCTGAGTGGGTGTGCAGCACAGGAGGAGGTGGTGAGGGAGTGTATTATTGTTGCACTAATGTGCTTCTCATCCAATCAGAGTGTCTTTGAAGGTAATGGATGAGCTGCTCACTTGTATTTGATAGCAAGTACTCGCATTGTGCAATTGAGGTTCCTCACTGCCCATTGCTATGTATACATTTATACTTTGGTCTTCATCTCAGACCTCAGATGGCCTCCAATTGGGGATGACAGTGAGAAGGATGCCTACTGCTAAATTTGATATACAGTATAGTAAATATAGCCAGGCTTGGGGAGGAACGGAAAATATGTACTGGCAATACGTATTCAGAATACCAAAAAAGTAACTGTATTTCATTACGGTTACAGAAAAAAACAATGTAATCAGATTACAGGTACAGCTATAAAAAAATTATTTTGCAAGATTACAATTTCCACACACACAGAGAGATGCCATTGGCCCAGTTGTTCATTTGAGCCCTGAGCGCAATAAGTGGATAAATTCTCACAATTGGTATCACACAGTCGTTGCGAGCAAACGGGAAATGGGGGAACTTTCTTTGATGTGTCCCCCAAATGCGGGCACTTTGAAAGCAGACGGCAAGGAAGATATCTGGCGACCTGCAGAGGTGGGCAATTTACAACATTTTTCCGGTTTGTCATTCGTCAGGAGCCAAGGCACCCGTCTGTCATCATCAGTCCGTTATTTTTTTTCAAGCTGAATCAAATTGTAAACCCTTGTCACTCTTCATTTTAATTATTGAATATTTTAAGATTTTTTTTTATAGCAGTTTATCCTTTTGTTGAAAATTAAGTGAACTGAAATGTTCTCATCCTCCAGAAGTGTAGTGTGTGAAATTGGTCTCAACTGCAGTCGCTGTGTTCCATCCCATGCCCCTGCAAAATTTTGTCCTGCTAATGTGTCATGAAGTGTGTGCTCTACCTCTCCGACCTTGCTGTGGAGAGAGAAATGACGAGTCAAACCCCTCGTGTGGAACCCACCAAGAAAGCTTTCTGCAACTGCAAACCAGTGGTAGCAGTGGAAAGTTTACTTGGCTCATCCAGTCAGTGTCATCAACCCCACCCGTAAGGTGTGAAGAGAAAAAAAATGTTTGATTCTCAAATTAAATATTTCAATTATTCTTTTTCATGTTTGTACGCAGGATTAAATGCCATTTTGACAAAACTTTCATGACTGCTGATTATGCTGGGGAAATGTGAGCATGTCAACATGGTCAGAATAAAGATGTGAAAGCATTCTTGCGACAGTCAGTCCAGCAGTTAAAAACATTTTCTCCAAAGTAACTGTTTTGCAGGAATGCAGAGGTTTTGTTTGCTCCAGCTCTGAGGACTTTACGCCATTTGCGCTTCACTGTCCAGTGAATATGGCTTTGCAAAATTTACAAATTCCTGTTAACTTTGTGTTTGGATAGCTGCAGCATTCCATATGGGAGGAAAACAATTTCAGCCACCGTCAGTCAGATTCGGCGACTATGCAACGTGTGGTTCAGTTTCCTCTGTTTCAATTTTCAAATTTTCAATTTCTTTTCTTTTACAACAACCTTATTAACGGTGTTAGAGTGTTTCTATTGTACTGTATTCTTCAAATTAGTAATGCACGATAATTACCGGACCGATATTGGATAAAGGATGACATTTTTATTGGTCTGATCATGCAAAATGTGCCGATACTTGGGCTCCTCTTGAAAGCTTCATTAAAATACACCCAAATCCAACCAGTTGAAAGCCACCTCGACTCTAAAAACACTATTAGTTATAAATATAGAAACTTGTGATAAAAAATGTTCACAAGTGCCATTCACTTGAATTAGAACCAACCGGGGTTAAGGCTTCCTTTGGCGTAAACCGGCCCGGCGGCCGCGGTATCGCCTCGGAGACGGCCTGCTTTAGGCGGCCTGCTTTAGGCGGCTGTCGGAGAGTGAAGACGACCAAGCCGTGCCGTTGACTTTTTTGACCTCTACTTTTTACCTTCATTGTTGGATACTACAATCATCTGGATTTAAATGATGTTGCATTACCGTACAAATTTAATGAGTTCCAAGGACTTTTCACTGCACTTTCAACATTGCGCTTGAGATGCAGTGGGACCTCTGCGGATTGTTTTCAGGTCTGGCAGGGGGCGAAAAGATGTAAAAATGCCGGGGCAGCTGAGCAGAGCTATGCCTAAGCAAATACCTGTGAGGATTAGTGCTGCAGAAAATGGATGGATGACACTGCACTATGTGCTGCTGTACTTGTTGGAATACAGATGGCCACGGGACACAACGAATCTGTATGTTAACAAACTACCGTTTAGTTCGTTGTCACATTTTCCAATAAAATGTCCGCCAACTACGATGTATAATACCGTATGACCATTTATAAATGTAAAAACATGAACATGTAATACAATATAAACATGTCAATTACAAATACATGTATACAGTATGAAGAAAAAAATATTTTATTAGACATGAAACAAACAACTGTAGAGTTCCTACTTCATTTCTGAAAACATTCAGAAAACAGCAAATGAAAAGTGCCTGTTTTCCAATTCAGAGTGTCCCGTGCCCCGAAGCCATTTATGATCATCTTTACAATCTGTTGGTCTTGAACTCTGCCATGATTTTGTTGCCATTATGGATGATTGTCGAAATCGTCAACTTTGCCGATTAGTTCACTACTTTGTGCAAAAAACCTGGTCGTTATAATGAAGTTTACATTCTAAAGATGTTTGTTGTAAGCAAAATCAACAAATGGAAAATGTATTACGTGAAATCGGGACTTTGAAATGTGAACGTTATAGGGGTGGAAAAGTAAACGGGGTACGCTGAAAGGAGGTTTGACTGTACCACAAAAGGGCCTGAGCATCAGCCAAGCATTCAACATCTGAACGTCACAATTTTACCTTTTCATAATTGTTTTATTATTATTTTTGTTATCTTGGTTTGTGGAGAGAAGTCACTGAAATTTGAATAATCTCTTTGTTGTTTTAATATAGATGCCTGAAATTGAAATAGTACCTTAACTCCGTTAAAAGCAAACGAGATCTTTTAGAAACTGTGTGATTGGAGTTCATCCTGCAGCTGCGACGGTTTACAGTAGTTTGCGGCACCTGACTGAGCACAGCACCCCTGCATCAGAACAGATGGTGGTGTGACGTCTCAAATGTTTGAGCTGTAGAAAAGAAAATCCTCCCTCCCGAGCACTTGTGAGAGTTGTTTGAGGGTCCTTTTGATTTCACAAAATACTACTACTACTACTACTACTGCTAATAATAATAGTAATAATAATACGGTATTTTAAGACTTTCTTATCTAGATATTATAGAGTAGTTGTTTACAAGGGTTTGGTTCAAGCTGTGGCTGTTTGGTACATTGCCATGTTGACTCTACAAGATATACGACTATGCGATGTTTTTTCCCCTTATTGAAAGTAAACATAAAATGATAAACACATTTTATTTACATCTATTTGTCAGATATCTATACTTTCTGTGGGCGTTGCCAGGTTATAATGACCATAAAATTCAAAGTCATAAACTGCAACTCCACGACTATTTTTGTTCCTGATTTTGGCAAGCAATACAATGACAGATAGGGTTCCAGCATTTTGGGCTGAGGGGTGCAGGATGGTCTCAAGCTCAACATTTACCAATTTCCAGGAATTTACCTTTGTTGTTTTAATGGTTCACAAAGTTGTGCAAAATTCCTTTTGAATGCCGGTGTTTATTTGTTACACTCAGCTGTGCGTTACAAAAACAGCAGCTGTAGAAACTGGTGGTGATGACGACATAGTCCCACCATGACTGCTCCTTCCAGTTGGACCTCTTAGTCAAAACAGACCAAAAGGGTAGGTGGTTGCAATGCATTATTTTGGATTATTTTGGCCTTTAGCTTCTTGTCTTTTTAAGAACATGAGCTCAGTTCCAAATATGTCCTAAAATAGGACCTAAAAGGCACACTGAAAACTGCAAAGTCTTTTATTGCTGATTAGGAAATTTTACAAATATGCCATTTGTTCCATTTCCAGTCCCACAACACACACACACACACACACGCACACACACACACACACACACACACACACACACACACACACACACACACACACACACACAAAGGCAGAATCCTGGTTGGTTATTGCACCTCTTGATATGGGTGCTGAATATTGGGATATCAGTATTATTGTGAGATTTAACATGTGGCGGCCCGGTGGTCCACTGGTTAGCGCGCCGACTTCACAGTGCACAGGTACCGGGTTCAATTCCAGCTTTGGCCTCCCTGTATGGAGTTTGCATGTTTTCCCCGTGCCTGCGTGGGTTTTCTCCGGGTACTCCGGTTTCCTCCCACATTCCAAAAA